GTTGCATTGTCTAGCTCCAAATTCTCCCAGATGATCAACACCTGGTCAAAAGACTGATTGTTCCTTTTGTATAACCTTTCTATCCATGATTGCTTGTGGATCAACCCTGATGTTCCCTTCTGTTGTTATCTTGTGCAAATCCACACAAACTGGTGCTCCTTTAGTGGACAGTTTCACTATAAATACATGGAAGACATGATGTGCTATAGATGCCCAGGTAACTTTCTTTCTGATGAACTTTTATATTGCTGCCCCCTGCTTCATTGTGACTTGCAGAATCGTAATACCCTTTGCAATAACACCCTTTCTTGTCCCCTCTCAAATGTTACCCTCAGCTCCTTGGATGCAAATGTCATTGTGCTAGAACCTCATTTAATCAACTCCTACAGTTAAGTCCAAGGTTCAAAATCCAGAACATACACATCATGAGTAAAATTACACCCCTGCATATCCCAGTAATCTATTGATTACAGATCAGTTCTTTGCCATCAACGATGTTCACCTTAAAATGCTTGTGATCTTTAACTGATTCGGGGTATAACTAAGCTGCAACTGATTTTACGAAACAATCTATACTGTGTCCATCCAATAGTACTGACATCTCATGCTCCCCATAACGTTCAGTCAACTTAATTGCACTGGAAGGCGGTTCTCCTGAGACCGAATGCAAAGACAGAACCACATTTTTAATTTTTTACTACCACAATCAATGATCATTTCTTCTGTTTCCATCCCTGAGTCCTGCCTCTCCAAGTCCTCTACTAATAACATATGAAACCTCCTTATCCTTGCAAATGTGGCCAGGATCAAACTTATCGCCACTGCTGTAATGCAATTCTACTAGGTGTAATTTTTTGGAAGACCTGTTTTGCGGGCCTATTTCTCCCACCCTCTTGTGACTTGGTATAAAGGTTATTTGCTCCCTTAATCATGTTTTAGTGGAGGATTGACCAGCCTTGATCCCTCAGCTGCTATCTGAGGTTAGGGGTGCAAAGATGCTGGCCTGAATCAAGCTACTAGCAAGCTTGCTCGGTCGAAGCTCGTGCAGCTTGAATAGCTTGACAAGCTTGATTTAAAGCCTATCATGTGAGGCTTGAAAATTTGTTGAGCTTAATAGTATTTTTAATATTCCTTAGTGTGAAATGTTGAAATTATATGAAATACTAATTTATATCTCTCAAGCTCAATTGAGCTGTATTAAGCTTGATTGAGCTAGATCTGATAAAGCTCGAGCTAAAGTATTTTGATTCGAGTAGTTCACTACTCAAGCTTGACTTGACTTGTTTGCAGCCCTGTCTGTGATCAGGGCTAAGCATTCTTGAAGAACACCTTGCATTGGTTTTCAATAAATTCCAAGTTGTGTGCTTGCCACCAAGTCATCTCAAAAGTTGCTTGGACGATAGCTGGTTTATGCATCTTGACTGTGTGTTTAATTTCCTCCTCCAACCCACACAAGAAGCTTTTGATGTAATAAGATTCTGATAATGCTGGAACCTTGATATTACAGCAGCCTTCAACTCTTTGAATTTCTCCAGATAAGCCACCACCGGAGGCCTCTTGCAATTTTATTTATTTATTTTTAGGCCTCTTGCAATTTTATTTATTTATTTTTAGGCCTCTTGCAACTTGGTAAAACCCCTCCATTGTATCATCATCACCCAGCTCTTTAAATTCCTACTCCTGCCTAAATTCCATCAACAGTATCAGTCCTTTATCCCTCAAGCTGCAGTGCAGCCAAATCCTTATTCGTATCAGGGACTTGATGCAACTGAAAGACTTTATAACATTTCCTCCATTTTCCTGGGATTTGACCCATTGAAACTGGGAATATCCAATTTATAGAATACTGACAGGAAAGTGATTCCTATCTTTCTTTGATAAAATTTCCCAATTCAATGCCCTTGATCTCCTGATTAGAAGTTCTTACTGCATGAGTCCTTTTTGCAGAAACAGAGGGATTTTCCCAAATGCCTCCATACAAAAATGTGACACATGAAACTGGTTAATTTATTGGTAATTGCAGCCAAAACTGTCTGCATTTCAGAGCTGTTAATGTCCATCAGGGTCTTTAGTTCTGAGCTGCTGGAGTCCATCTTCTTTTCGAAGAAATGTCTATCAGCAGCTGGAAAAGAACATAGAGCAGAGAAGAGAGAAAAGAAGCAGATTTGGGGAAAAAATTTGGAGATGTATTGATCAGTAGAAGGTTTAAGCTAACTTTCTCTATAGATATGCTCTTATTTTTAATTGTAAACTAACTTGTAGCTAACTACCAATAAGGCAGAAATTAACTCTGCCAGCTGGCTATAGCAACTAACTCAACTAACAGCTAACTCTCCCTCTCAAGTGTTTAAAAAGATTAAGTAGTCATCCAGGTCATTATAGGGATTGGGGAAGAAAAGATTTAATCTGAAGCATGAAGACTGCACAACACTTACCTTTTCCTATGCATGGCAACTGATCTGTTTCTTGGATCCTGATCATAAGGTTCATTACAATATGGTGCAGTGGTATTGGGTAGTCTATAAATGTAAATCAGAATTAGCTGATAATCTGTTCTATGTAAATCATTTTTGCATCTTTTTCTGTCATATGAAGGCTTCAAGAGTTAGTTTTTATATATAGCTTGGTGATGTTAGTTTGTCGTTAGAATGTCACTTATGACTTTTAGGATCTTGGAGACTTAACTCCACTAGTAAGTTTCTGATTTACCGTCACATAGCTGTATTGAAATTAAGATGGTAGAATATGAGGCTCATTCTGATCAACTTACTGTTTCAAATTTCAAATTATATGTGTGGTGTAACTTCCATCTCTTTTTGTGACACCTCAATTGGTCTCCCCTTTTGAAGAAGCAATTTAAATGCCACAGAATAGTATCAGAGCTTTTGCCAACTAGTTGGGACTGGATTCTTGGACTGTGGTGTGAAGCCCACTAGGGTTAAATTGTGAGAAATAGATGCTTGACTTTTGACATGGCTTGGGTTTACTTTATAGATGTTGCAGACATGAGTTAGGATAATCATATTGTGGTGTATGAATTATTGAGGTTTACATGCATCCAGCTAATTTTGGATTTGGATGTGATCCATGCTGGATAGGGCCTAAGAATTTTGTTAGCCTTCTATATTTGTAGTGATTTATCAGTGCATCATGTAGCAGCTCATGAATTCCATGTAGTTGTAGTAGAATATTTATGAACCATATAGAATATAGAAGTTTGGGGTGCTAATCTTTTAGTTTTTGTGGATTTTGGGACATATATGAGCATATGACAGAATAATTGCTTCAAACTAAAATGTTACATATCCTTATGGTTGAAACTTTTGTCTTCAACAATTCATGCATACTGATATGGGTACTTGCTCCATCACTAGATTCAATTCTCCATGAGGAAGAAGGTGATAAAAATAAGGAATGAAAGGAAAACAACCAGAAAAAAGAATTTTTTTCCTCTTTATAACTCAGTAAACTGTTTTTTTTTTTTTTGGCTGGCCATTCTAGCTCTTTACGGCTTAAACAGAAATCAAAAAGTAAATGGCCATCAACTTGTTTGGGGTGTATGTTTTCAAACCCATGATGTTAAGTATCCAACCACGTTTGAGTTGCTTGGTATCTAGCTACAAGTTGTTGAACATATGTTTTCTGTCCCTAGATATTTATGCTTCTTTCCTAGCTGTTCTTGGTGAAATTTGTCACACGCAACCCTTTGATATATCCTAAGTTACATTATCATTAAGTTGCTATGATCCATTGGCTGATCATATGGTTAATTACATTTTCATTAATGTTTTCCGATTAATTATGATTTACGTCACTTTATAGGTTGAAGCTACAAAGAATAAGAAAAAGACTCGTGACGAGGATGATGATAAGGCACACAAAAGGAAGCATCATCACAAGAAGAAGCATGAGAAGCAATCATCATCTGGGCACCATTCTGGCTCAGAAAATGCTGGTTCAGAAAAGAAAAGAAGAAAGTCTAGTGGCCACAAAGGTTCGCGTAGTATATTACCGAGTTCAGAAGAAGAAAGTGATTGGGACATTGAGACGAAGAGAATATCTAAAAAATCTACGCACAAAGAACATGGGCCCGCTTTCTTGCTGGAGTCAACAACTAAGAAAAATGTCAGACAACAAAGAGGAAAAGGGATTCAGAATGATTTTCAGCATGAAGAAACTTGTTCCGCAGGATACATGGACCCTGTTCCCATGAACCAGGGAAAAAGAGAGCGAAAAATTCCTCAAAGCAATGTTGGTGATTCTTCTGATACTGTAAGAAGGAATGAGGCAATCAACAGGCGTCGAAATCCTGTTGAACTTTCTGAAGAAGAGAGAGCTGCAAGGTTGCAGGAGATGCAGATGGACGCGGAACTCCACGAGGAGCAGAGATGGAAACGTCTAAAAAAGGCAGAGGAAAATGATGCTCGGGAAGCTGTTAGAGCAGGGATACCCAAGGGTAGTAACTTCCTGGATGCTGTTCAAAAAAGCGTCTATGGTACGGACAAGGGTGGATCAGCAACCATAGAAGAGAGCGTCCGTCGGCGAACACATTATTTGCAGGGCAGATCAGAAGCCACAGAAAGAAATGCATTTCGCCGATAAGAAGTTTTAGTGCAAGAAATATTGGCTTCATTGAAGATGCGCTTTTTATCGGGCTTTTTAAAGATAAATGGTTACTGTAACAAGTTTTTTGGATAGATGTATATATATTTGTGCATGATGATAAAAAGAGATGATCGGACAAGGTGTTTGGAGTTTTCTAAAAATGTGAACTTGAAAAACAGTTCAGAGACTTTAGAATGTGTCATCTTATCTCCTAAGAATAAAAATTCTGAAGAGAATTAGCGGCTCATGTGCAAATGTCTACTAGAACGTGTTTTGATTCTTTTGTGGTCCGGGTCGGATCCTGTCCATATTCCATTCACTCTGGGCGTAGTGCGTCTGTATTTGTACAAGTAGTTCTTGCGCTCAGAGATAATTGAAGAACCCCCCTCGATTGAAAACTTAGTGCGAAGCTTGCATGAATGTTAAACTTCCGATCCGAGACGTCTGTGCTTGGGGTAACGATAAACAATATTGATACCTGGTAAGACGGGTATAGAAAGCCAACTCCGATCCGCAAAGAACCAGGCCCCTCCAAAGTCATAGAAAGAATGGTAAAGAAATTTCTGGAAAAGGACCATAAACTTCGCGGTTTTAGACGCTGCAACACTTCACATGGGAGAGAGTTAAGCGGGTAGTGCAACTGGCTCAGCAGCGTGCACTAAGTACTAGAAACTGTACTATTACTACTCCTTTCAGTTGAAAGCAAAGGGAAAGAAACATCACGACAACCAGATAACCACCATGAATGCCTGTCCAGCAACAACTGCCCTTCCCGGTACATTCTATGCTATGGTAAAAAGAAAATCTGGGGGGTCGTCCTTCCCTTCCACCCGCTGCACATATACAAAGCGCCGCTACCCAATTTCCCTGGCGACCGGGTCGGTTGTCGTAGAGACTACTCCATCTCAGCAGGAAACTAATTCTAATTCAGTTGTTCGCCGCCTCATTTTGCTCCGTCATGCCGATAGTAGTTGGGAAAATCGCTCCCTCCGAGGTATTAGGTATCCCAGTGCTCATTATTTGCCTCTTGTTTATCGTTTTTTTTAATTCTATCCAACTATGGATATACATACCAACATTTCTTAGATACCTACCGCACTGCAACTTTATGATTCTTCCTCAACTTCCCTTCAATCGAGGATTCTTTATTTTTCGCCTGCCTTTGTCATCGTTTCCCAAGCGACTATTATATGCTTTTTCTGAACAAGCAAGTAATTTTTGGGGTTATGGTACCGATAACATTATACTTACCTAGTGGGAGAGCATGCTATGAACAAGATTTTATTGTAAAAGACAGGTTGGAACGATATACTGATTGACCTTAACTCTCGTTCATCGGTTGCAAGTATACTCTGACCTTAACGCAAATCTTGTTTAGTTACGTCTGGACTTTTACCTTTGCTTATATCAAGCACCAGTTGACTAGAGAATTAAGTAATTAAATAACTATATGTAAGTAGTTATTACGTTGCCTTCAATTTATTCATGTATATATGGGAGGAAAGGTTTCTCAACCTTTTGCCAACAATTTACATCGATTGAGCAGAAAAAGTGGCAAGATCATGCAGGATTGTAGATTTTGTAAAGGATCCTTTATTTATTTTGTAAAAAGAAGAACAAGAAGAAGAAATCTATGACATATTGAGTTCAAATATTCATGATCAATGGGGAATTCTTTGTGTTGCCTGAGAAAATATAACTAAAATCAATCTTTTGGTTTTGGGAGGGTTGTTTTGGTGGGGTGGGTGGGAGTGGGGAGGAGGAAAAGGAGAATAACAAGAAAAGTTCAAAATTCGGGATCCAACTTTCTTTCTTGAAGGGTTAGTGAAGGAATTATACCTAAGTCAAAAAGTATGACATAGCAGCCTTTCCGAGCGAGCCTCTGGGATCTCCTGTAAACCCCCATGATGTGGTAAAGGGAGGATATTAGGGGAAGTTTAGCTTATTACTGGAAGTGGAAGATGGTCTAGCTAATTATGAGCTCAATGTCCGAAAGTGCATGCTGTTTGACTCAATATTGATGTTCGTGCAGCATTGTCTCCTTATGCGTCTAACTGTACCTGTGGAAATTGTAAGATAAACAGATTTATTCTTGTTTCTGTAGCATTTGCTCTCTCTGAGATCTGAATATGCAAATAGACTGAGACAACTGCTAAGAAAACAATTTTCCAACTTCTTAACTGGCTTTCAACTAACTTTCTTCCATAGATCATGATCGCCCATTGACTAAAAATGGACGAGAAGATGCCATTAAAGTCTCCCAGAAGCTTCAATTGTTGGGCTGGATACCTGAACTTATTTTATCTAGGTTTGTATTCTCAAGGGAGAGTTAATTTGCAATAAATAGGATGTGCGTATTCTCAGTGACCACTTATTTCTATTAAATGAATTGCTGTATTTGGACACTGTGTCCTCTATAGTGATTCCCAACGAACGAGGGAAACACTGAACATTATGCGAAAAGAGGTTCGAGGGTTTTTGGAAGCTGAGGTACATTTCCTTTCAAGCTTTTATTCAGTTGCAGCCATGGATGGTCAGACAGCAGAGCACCTTCGACAGGCTATAAGTGAATACTCAACAGATGAAATATTAACCGTCATGTGAGTTCTGCTGAATGAAACTTCTTCTTTGGCTTTCCATGGCACTGGGGCTTTTTATTTGGTTGTACAGGTGCATGGGACATAATAAGGGATGGGAGGAGGCTGCATCAACATTTTCAGGTGTCTCTGTTGAACTGAAGACTTGTAATGCTGCTTTGCTTGAAGCTGCTGGAAAAACATGGGAAGAAGTAAGATATAGTTTTGCACTATTTCAACTTTAACACTATCAATATTTTGCATATTTGAAGACTGTCTTTCTTTGCAATTTTCTTAGCCCACTATGGTTTTATACACCAACTTTTGTGGAATATAAAAATTCAACTTTTTTTTGGAGACATTGATATGTTTCAGTGAGTGCTCTGGATAGAGTTAGAAAGATATTTTGACCTAAAAAATCACTTATGGGGAGTGCTTTGGGATTTGTGTGCAGAACTGGCAAGCTACTAATATTTAATGTTGACTTTTAAGGATTGGCGCTAGATTTTGGACATTCAGAAGACAAATGAAATCATATAAAATCGAATATGGGGAATATTTTACAAGGCAAATTTCCTAGCTGCAAAGAGAAAATAGTGGTGGGATTGGTTAAGAACTTGCCACACTGGAAATCAAATTGAAATCCCGTTATCTTTCCTACATAATTTTCTGATGGTGCAGATAATTGTAATTGAACTGGCTCAGTTGCTGCGTAGCACAACTTTGGTAAGAGAACTGCATAGTTTCTCCAATACCTCTCTCTATGTTAACTAGCTACTAAGTAACTTGTTAACTCTGTCTCTAAAAAAAATACCCTGAAGTTGTTTTTAGTAGTGCAAGCTAGCCTCCCAGTAGCGGCCACACTCCTTGCAAGAAATAATTAATCCTAATTGATGGAGAGTGGAGACCTTTGGGAGATTCCTCCAGCGACTTTGCTGGCAACGTCACCACCCCTTGCAAGAAATAAAAAAACCCCAGTATATGGACTTCATGAGAGGATTTCTCTCTCAATGTTGGATGAACTTCTTGTTCTAATTGCTTTTTACTTTGCTAATGAAAATTTACTTTTATCTCCAGATGAAATTGTTCTTTTTTCCATAAGTGAAAAACAATGGTTATAGGAAGAAATATTATTTGGAATAGCTATTGAAGCACTTTTTGTGATGTGATGTATGTAAGATAAAAAGGTTGTTGGGAAGGTAAAAAGTTGATTGGGAATTGTAATTGTGATGCGAGCAAAATAATATTTGGGAAAAAATTGCTATCCAAACACATTCGTAGTCTGAAGATGGGGCTGCCATGGCAGATTTGATGGGACGAGAGTGGAAGGAGGTCACCAATCAGCAAGACACATGGGGAAAGGCATGTAGTCCATCAAGGTTGGTGGTTGTTGTAGTGGACTGGTGGGGGTGGTGGTGGGGCAGCCGGGAGGTGTGATGAGAGGGCTGTCACAGATGAGGTTGAGTCTGGTCTGGTGGAATAAACTAGCTTTTCATTTTAAGCATACAAACACCCAACAATCATTGGAAAACCAATCATTTTCTTATGATGCTTAATATTTTCTTAAGAAAATGTTCTACGTTTTACCAAACGGACATGAAGTCAAAGAAATTACGGTAGCTCTGTAGATCTCAGGGGGTCTGTGTTACTATTGCCAAATCTCAATAAACACCATCAAAGTTAAGATGTTTGAGAAGCTATTGAAAACAGTAAACAATAATGCACATGGCTATTGAGTTGGTCTTTTCTTGCAATTATGATAGTTCACTATGTTTGATCTATTTACGAATTTTTGGTTTGCATAGTTTTGCTATTGGGCTTTTAATTAGGAGCCTTGATTTGCAGTTGTGCAATGTGATGCCCATTTGAGGTAATGGGTAGTGGGGTTGGTTCAATTTTTATGCTTGGGGAGCTATGCTGTTGACAGTAGGCTGTTACACTTGGTTTCTTTCACTTGCAGGCATTTGCTTTGGCAGGAATCGGTGGCTGGAAGCTTCATGGCATTGTTAAGCCGGATGCTGGTCTTTAAGATTTCTCGGTAGCAAGGACAAATTACCAGATTCCTATATTCTACATGGTTCCTTCCATCTGAATTGACAATCCCCGATTAGGAGAATGGTAAGAGTAAGTCTAGGAAGTTCCTGTTGCAAACTACTATTAACCAGTTTTTATATTATTGATGTGAAGGAAGATCATAAAGTTCTCTCCGAAGTCCAAAGATTCTCCTAGTATTGGAAATGAGAGCTGTGACCATTTGGATGCATTCTTGCCTGCAAAACACTGAGCGTGTTGCAAAATGTAAAGCCATTGTGGATTTTTTTCTGCACTCCTCCTTCCAGCGACATGTTTGTGGGCATTGAAACGCTTCTTTTGAGCTATTTATGCTTCAGGAGATTTGACTAAAGGATCAAAGTTCTGGTGAAATCTTATGCTGCTGATTTAGCATAAAATGAATGCCCAAAATTCAAAAAACACTTAGTGAAGTTTGTTGCTGTTTTGGACTTACTTTTCCTTTTCTTTCTACAAGCTCTTATTGTCAAGGAAACTGGTTATTCACGTACTATTTATTTTGAATACAATGTGAACCTTAAGAAGTTTTTTTGTACTTATAAAATTGGACAAAAAAGCGAAACATATCTTTCCATTAGATTTCCCTAAAACAAGTAAAATGTAACCAGTTAATCAAATGGTACTGAAATGAAGCAAGATAAATTTTGATTCCAAGTAGTTATTAGCATAAAGAAAAGAACATAATTATAAGCATGATGTACATTTTCTCGAATTAATATTATAACGAGTAAATGGCTATAATAGTCATTAAAATATTCAAAATGACACGAGTTGATCACCAAATTTTTTTTTTAGTCAAAAAGTCACTGAACTCCCTACAACGAGTCTTTAAGGTCATTTTGATCAATTTAGCTGGTAAATCAACCAGAAAAAAAAAGAAGCCAAACTTGACCTAGTATTGTATTGCTGCTGACGGATGATCTCGCAGCCTGATATGATAGCACCCAGAAATCACGTCTGGGAGAGCTGACCTAATATTCCCTCTCTATCTATCAATGCTCCCTGACTTTCTGAAATTCGTACCAATGCCTCAAACTATAAATACCTTCCATTCTCACACTCAAAGGTATAAGACATCTAGACATCGTTACGCTAACTTAGACATCGCAGTTATTTCAGGGGACAAAGTCCCAACCCTGTGCCTTTATTCCTTATTATGTTTGCACCAAGAAACTCGGATTGGACAGCTCGGCCTCACTGGCTTCCTGCTTGCACGGTTATTATAGGAATTTTCCAAGTATATTTGCAAGAATAATTTTTTGAATTTTCATGTTTTATCACATTACCATTGCATCCTGCAATTTAGGCATAATTTGTTAATTTTTCATTTGAGCAATTGTTTCAATAAATCTGGATGCCCTACTAATGTTTAGTGTATTGCTTCAATAAACTACCCAATATATTGTTAAAAACAAAACTACCTAATATTTCATAATATGCGTATGAAATATCCGTTCATGTTAATAGATTTTCAAACATAACAAGTATCTTACGGTTTCTTTTTATATTAGTATTAGTTGTGAATTTATGCAAGTATGAATAATTCAAAAAATAAAATAAATTTCTTACATATTCATGAAAAAATTTTACTGTTCAAGTATTTTATTAATCTTTGAATCAATTATTTTATATGATTAAAAACCTAAAACCATATACCAAAGATGCAAAAACATATTTTCTCCTTGAATGAATATAAATTTCTAGCAACTTTAATAAAGTAACAATTAAAATAACACCAAATAAAGTTAATACATGTGGATAAAATAAATTAAGTGAATTTATAAATAACAATAAAGTTTTTTAGAAGATAGAGTAAAATCATAATAAAATATAATTCAAATTTATTTAAAAAGGATTAAGTTGTTAGAAAAGAGAGAAAATATGAGAAAATTGGTATAAAAAGTATCGGGTATGAACATGGGTAAAATCCATGTATCAATTCGCTTAACATAGGCAAACCACTTAGGGTGTGTTTTAGTAAGTATTGATAGTGTGAGAACCCTAAAATTTTTACATTTTCTTAGCCTTTTGTTTATTCTCACTTCCTCTTGTTAAGTGAAAATGTGTTAACCATTTGTTTTCAACAAAGGAAGGTTTTGATATTACGTGTATTTGGGTGAACGAAATGTATATACGTGTATGTGTTGGAAGTACGGTTGAGCGCGGCAATTGAACTAGGATTATTTTATTTCTTTGCCTACATTTTATACTTTCCTTAGAAATATTAAAATTTTTATGCATTTTTACAAGCAAGTACAGTTTTAAATTCATTTTTCTAGTATGAGTTAGTGGACGTTAAATTTGAAACGCATTATCGATGTGGGGCCCGCTAGTGCGATAAATGTGGTGATTAAGAGTGAGTTTTAGATGATATTAAGTGTGTGATTAGAAGTGATAATAATAAGTTAGTGAATTAGAAGATAAAACCCTAGTATACGCGATTTAAGGAAAAACGGCTAGAACCGACGGGTAACGTTCACTATCGATTGAACACACCACTTGACTACCACTTCCCTATCACCACATACCTTTGATATTGTTGCAAAATATTTCCCTCATCCTCAGTCCTTATAGCCGAAAATGTTGACTCAAAATGCAAGGAAAAGAAAAAAATTTTGGATGGATTTTGGTGGTGCCACTTGTTGGCCATCTATGGCCCTTTGACCAAACCCTTTTGTCTTGCCTTCTTATCTTTCATTTGAGATCATTCTTCATCATTTTTTTTCTGGTTTGGCCTAGAGCAAGGAGAGGGAGGAGAGTGAAGAGAGTTTTCCATTTCCAACCTTGAATCCAACCTTTGTAAGTGAGAACAAGAAAAATTAAATCGATTAATCACTAGTTTGGAAGCTTGGGAAGCTTAAGGAACCAAAAATTTCAAGGAGTAGTAGAGGATCACTCTTGCAAGGTCTTGTCTTGAGGTATAATGGCTGATCACTCTTTCTTTCTCCATTAATCATGATTAAGTTGGGTATTAATGTTAGAGTTGTGCTTGTGATGCTTGTTTCAAATGGTTTTGATGATTGGAGGGACGAATATTGAGTTAGGGTTTTGATTTATTCACTCATATTTCTTGTGGGTTAGGTGTTATATGGTATATAATCTTGTAAAGGAGAAAGTAGTGGTAATTTTAAGGTAAAAATGTGAATTATGGCTTGACTATAACAAAAGTCCAGATTTCTGGAAATTCAAGTTTCAGTTCTGCCCGGTTCCAGTTCGTGATGTTAGAGGCCGAATTAGACTTAGTATAAAACATGAAAATTGTAGAGAATGATGTTTTATAGTTGTCTGCAAAATTTCAGCTCAATCGGAGCAACGTAGCCTATGAAAAGACAAAAATACCCCTGACTCTCATAGGTTTAGTCTAGTGGACAATTTTGATATTTCACAACGCTAACCGTGTCTGTTCACCCTGATGTGTACTGAATTAGCCTTTGGCCAACACACAAAAGTTGTAGTGATATGTCTTAGCTTTCCAATGCCCCTGAAATCACCTCGTTTGGACTTCGGTAGCCTGAGTTATTGTCATTTACGCATAAGGCGGTTAACAAGCCCGAATGTGAGATTCTGGTTCTGTTATTTGAGATTTTGACTTAGATACACTACAAACTGGACTGAGTGGTTTTCAACAAAGTTGTAGGCCTTTGTCTTAGCTTCGAAATGGTATAACTTTCATCCCAATCCGATAAGCGTAGCCTCGGTTGTGTCCGTTACGTAAAACAACGTCAAATCTGTCTTTTGTTTCTTGACTTAACCTTCATTTCCGCACATGCTCCTAACTTGATTTTGTACTTGTATGATTTGGAGCCTATGGAATGGCTATTGAAATGAGATGATTTTGTGTATGACTTTGGGATTGATTGAGGAAAAGAATGAAGCCATAAATAGCTGAAAAATGGATAAATACAAAGGGCGTGCTGCCCAAATTTACGCTCAAGAATTAGGTAGATATACTTGCGACTTGAGTAAAGGTTTGAGAGCGAATACCACGTGAACCATCTAGGGTATGTACGGCTTCTTTTATCGAGGTATATAAGTTAGAATTCGGCCGAAACTTGTACCTTTGGAAAAATGAAATTTTCGACTAATAGAAATACGTTTCTTTGTCACTTCGACCCAAATGGAGATTTTAAAGTTTACGAGTGAGTATAAGTTTTATAAATATTTTACTTATGTCATTTGGTTTAAATGTACTCTTTTCACTATCAAAATCATATTTATACCTTGTACTAGTACGTATTCGAATTTTCTTTGAATCACTTACATCCTTGATGGTTGAAACATAATGTGTTCTTTTGATTATATTAGGGTTCCTTGGTGATTGAGGGTGTTATCCGAAAGGATACTTTGGACGTTATTTTGCGTAAATAGGTGAGTGTTCCTTGTTTGTTATATTTTCCTTGACTTCATGGCTTGTGTTATTGTTTGACAATGTGTTAAGTTCTTTCAAGGATTTCTAAAACGAGTTTTCTAGGCGAGTGTATTTTATCGCGCTCGACCTAAATGAAATGTGAAATTTTTAATGATTTAATGATTGAAACGTTACATGTGCATGAATGTAAACCTTTTGGCTGAACTGATCCCTGCCCTGGGTGAATATTTGGTATACTCGAGTATTACCTTGTTGTCGGGTGGAGCCTGGCCAACGTCCAGAAGGTGGTGAATGAAATGAATGAACGAATGTCAATGCAAATGAGGGATTTTACTTATCGAAATGCATTTTCAAATGATTGGAGGAATAACGGAATGAAAGGAGAATGAACGAATGGCTCCCTGTGAGCCCGTATCCTTTTAATGAATGTTATTATCGCTTTATATTGTCATATTTCTTGAATTACTTGCTATCTATGGTTAATGTATTGAACTGTTTATTTGTTTGTGTGTTTGGAACCTCACTAAGTTTCTACCTCATTTCGTTAGTTTTGTTTTCCTTAACAGGGGATGCGAGTAAGGACGAGACCTCTGTATCGACTAGTCTAGTCTAGTTCTTTTGATTCTTTTGTAATGGTTCTCGCTCTAGCATTTGGCAAGGGTTGGATGTATGAAGAATTGAGAACTTTTGTACATTTGATTTTGTAATTCCTTTTGAGATAGAAAAGTCTAAGTATATGTTCTAAGCTTTGAATCGTTATTATACTTTGTCTTGTGGTTTTGTTTCGATTTTATCTGAGGTGAATGATTGAGTCCTGGCGAGAGCTGGACAGGCGGTCCGCCGAACCCTTTGGTTCGTCTTAGGGGAAGGTGGGGTTGTCACAGATAGGCTCAAGATGGGGCAGACTATCAAACTGTACGATCCTTTTAGGTTTAAAAAATCACGGACCAAGCTCGGTCATTTTACTTAATTAGGTTTTTGGCTCAAAATAGGCTTGTCCAAACTAAAAATTTTTCACTTTCTGTCATTTTACAAAACTATTAATTAAAAATGCAATATGGGAACTAAAATGTAATAGTTTATCTTTGCTTTTTTTTTTTCGTAAGGGAGAGGGTTTGAATCCAAAATCTCTTACTTACAACTTTTTCTATCCTATCAGTCAACCCAACCATTCCCTCGCAATTGTTTAACTTTGCTAAAATTTGAATACAGAATATTTCTGAAAAAGTGAATTGCTGCATTTTAAGTATTTAATTGAAAGTAGATACATAACTATGTTTAGTTTAAGGCTTATAATCATGCAAAAAGTTTGATTACTTTCTCGAGTAATAGTTTTTTGGGTGCATTGCAGTAGTTGATGAATATTACCTAATTATTATAATAAATTACTGTGAAATGATTTTTTGTTGGGTAAAAATTGTTGTGGAAGAATGGTGATAGCCAGCTTTCATCTTTACATCTTCTGATATTTTTAAGAGAAAATTGTTAATGATATTCCTCACATTTCATTAAATAAAATTTTCCATCCTTTACTATTAATATGGTAATTTTATGTCCTTATAAAATTAAGTCAATAAAATTAAGTTTCAACCCAAATTTTCGACCACTTTTTACTGGTGAAAAATTTGGATCCCATTTATGGTAAAATAAATGACTCGATTCATAATCATATTTACTTTACAAAAAGTAGGATTTGAATTGAACTATATTTATTTTTCTTCTAAAAAGTGAAATCTGACATAATCTATTTTCATTTTTTTCACTAAAAAAGTGAGATCTAACCTTTCATGTATAAAAAATGATTGCATACAGGTTGTTTTGAGAAATGTCTGGTTTGTGTTGTTGTATCTTGTGTCGAAACAAAATTGATTCATGCCTTTGTTGCTAATTTGAGAGTACACTTAATATCCTGTTTGTTATGTGTTTTCATGATCCATGCGAATTTGTAAACTTATATAGTCTAAGAAATAGATAATATAATTTTGAGAAGTGGCCGGTTTGTTTTATTGAATACTATGTTGAGACAAAACTAATTCATGCGTTTGTTACTAATTTGTTGACTAAGACGCATATAGTTTTTGCACCAATATTTTACTTCACTTTACCAACTACAAAAAAAGATAGTTTGTTTGGATTGGCTTGATTTTAAATAAAAAAATTTACTTCACAAATTTCAATCACCTTTTTATCTTCCCAATCACCTTTTTATCTCACATACATCATATCATAAAAAGTGCTACAGTAATTATCTCAAATAAATCATCCAAATAAACTCTTATCCAAACAAAATTAATTTTTTACCTTAGATTTAGATGCTTGCAATGATGATAGATTCACAGAGTTAGTTTTGTTCTTTAAATAGTACTGTTGTAAATGTTAGACAAGACGGCCATTGAAGTTTGCGCTAGCTATTGCAAAGATCACTACTGTTGCTTCGGTTGTTCCTAGTACATCTTTTCGAATTTCACTTGTACCCTTGACTTTTACTATTTATTTTATTCTTTACTAATATAATTTGTGGATAATAAAAAAAGAACATATATGGAACAAAATTATCATCTCACTCCTCAAAATGTCCTTTTAATAGTATTTTTTCTGACTTAGATGGATTTTGTTATCAAAATTGTTAACTTAAGGGAGGCTAGTATTTTCTAGATTTTTTGTAGAAAAATTACTGTAACAATTTGATATATGTGAAATAAAAAGATGATTGAAAAATGTGTTCGCGAAAAAACGTAGCAATATTTCTTTGAAAAATTGCTGTCCAAAGGCCTTAGGAAGGAGAGGTTTCTAAATTATCCCATAATTCATATCTATTTCTTCTCTTTTGTCTTTCAAAACCAAACGCGCTACATTCGTTTTTTACAAGAACTAACACGCGTTCTGCAAACAAATTTTACACTTTTTTTTTGGTAAGCACGGAGTTCGGAGAGTGCTTCGTTCTTGGGTCTACTTAATTCCTTTTTTACATTTGGTTTGTGGCTTTCCTTTTCCTTTTTTTTTTCCCACCCCATTAACTGTTTCATCCGAGTTCCAGATCGAACAAGCAGTCGTAGGTGGAGCACACCTCCCATCTGTGGGAGGGGGGGAGTGAGTCGGGCTTTCTTGAATTCACCCCCGGGTTACTTCTTTTTCCTGACATTGATGGGAAGATTGCACCTTTCCTGATCCTCTTCCTCTTTCTTTTCCTAACGAAGACGGAAGACTCTCATCTAAGTACCATTACTAGCAGCTGATGGGTTTTTGTCCAATCAATTTTCTGAATTGTCAGTTCTACTATTTTGTACTATCTAAAGTTTCGACAACCGCAAAAATAGTGTGGTTTTAGTTGAAATTCTAGATAGAGTTTCGATTTCCTACAACACCAACCTTTTAGTTGAAATTCTGGATAGAGTTTCGATTTCCTGGCGTGAATCGTTCGAATTATCTCCCCAGTCAGTTGGATTTTCCCCATTTCATTTCTGGTGTTCTGGTTTTCCCTTCGCCATTTGCTACCCTTCTTGATTTCCATCGCCTACGTTGTTGGACCAAGAATGAAAGTATAGGGAGAAGCTTTTCCGTCTCCCTGGTTGCAGCTCATTGAATACTGTATCATGTTGTTCGACAATCTACTCTAGCTCAAAAAGTGTGGTTTTTTTTGTTTTTTGTTTTTTGGCTGCACCAGATGATCGATCAGTTTATTAATTTTGTAATTCGCCCGCCCAGGTAAAGTAATGCATATAGTAGGATGCAATTCCTGATTTGTTTCCGATGTGCTTACGAATTAAAATGACAATACATAGACGGGAAGTTGACAGTGTATGAGATAGCATTTACACGTCCAGAGGACAAAAGATTCCAAGTTGCCCTTCTCCACTTGCAACATTCCACCTATGCATATTTTCACTATGGAATTTTTTGACCTTTCAATTGTTGTGCATAAGCAGTTTTGCTTCTTTAGCCCTTTAATTATGCCTTATCTGTGGATTTACACCTGCTCCTTTTTCCCCCTTTTATATTAAATCGTAACCCTAGGCTACACTTCTGTTAGCTTTGTTTAGCATTTGAGTGTTGGTTATTTCAACTATCTTCTTAGCATTTTCTGGTTAGCAGGGCTCAATATAACCCAGATCAGTACTTGTGGGAGAAAGATTTTACTCTTGCTGGCAGAAAATACAAGAGACAAGACTTGGAGGCAAGTATGGGCATCTGTTACTCAACCTTTATTTGGACTTTTTTGCTTTGGGCAGCTTTAATCTGCTAATGTGATGGTGTTCTAAGCCTTTAGGGCATCCTGTGCTTAAATTTTCAGCTTAGGAACGAAAGTGGACATACATTACAGTGTAGCCATTATGTTCCTTCGCATTTTCCAGATGGAACTCCTTTACCTTGTGTTGTATACTGCCATGGAAACAGGTGCGTCACTTTCAATCACATTACTTCAATTTGGTGAAAAGTCATTGCTAAATTTTGAATGTAGAACTAAGCATGTAGTAGATAGTATTAACTGTTCTTATGATTGCATTATCCAGTTATTGACTTGTTCTATTTCGTGTTATAAATTCTCGCCGAAACCATTTTAATTGCTGCCATGCATGATTTTAATTTGTTTGAAACTAACTGCTGGCTTTACAAAATGCAGTATTAAACATGCAGTGGCTATAGAAATCTGCATTCCATGAATTTCTTGTACAGTCATTCATTCATCCAATCTATGGCAATTTTTTGTATTTTTGGCATTGTTGGACTAGTAAAGTGCTTGCATCTAAAGAATTTTACTTGCTGGCTGTTTATGATGTGGGTCCTGCAGTGGATGTAGGGCAGATGCAAATGAGGCTGCAGTAATTCTTCTTCCCTCAAACATTACTCTGTTCACCCTTGATTTTTCGGGTTCAGGCTTATCTGGTGGTGATTATGTTAGTCTTGGTTGGCATGAGGTATGTTTTCCTCATTATCCTCTCTCACTATTTCCTAAAATGTTTTCCCTGCAGAAATGACTCTATTTATTTTGTGCCAGAAAAATGACCTCAAGGTTGTGGTCTCGTATCTGAGAAGCAATCCAAACATTTCACGCATTGGTCTCTGGGGACGGTCAATGGGTGCAGTGACTAGGTGATTTGACATTTAATTAATGATCAGTTCAATCATACAGCCCCTAACAACTAGAGTATTGCTTTGGCTTTTGTGTTTCCTATTGTTGCTATTTGTTCCTGTCAATGTACTGTTAATCCTGTCAATTTACATTGGTGTGATATTCTGAATGCTATCCCAAAGAGGAAACTTAATGTTTTCAGCATGAAATGAGAGACTCGATTCAACAACCTATGGCAAGAATTAAATTTAATAGGTAATCTGGTAAAAGCTAATTCTAGATCTTGTAGAAACTAGTAAGAATAATTTAATATCATTCTGAAACAGAGATTATTGGAGCAGTAATAGAGAAATCATGAATGTTTGTCCAATGTCAAATATCTTGGATGTACTGAATAGTGTACAAGATTGTAGCTTATATACCACTAGCAGGGCTTAAAAGTTTTGGGGAGTGGTTTAGGCTACCTGTGTTGCTGGGCCAGTGCACAACTCGAATTGCTGTGGTAGTATCAAATTAGAGTAGCTTAATGTAGCCTCTTCATGGGATAAGATTGCTTTATTGGGTCTAATGAGAAAATCAGTGCCTTAGGGGTGATTTTCAAACCCTAAAAATCTGTTGGGTTGAAGTAAAGGAAAGCAAAAGAAAGAATATCATTGCATAGAATTGAAAGGCATCAAAAAATGTAGTTACTATCTTATTGCATGGGAGTGGAAGCAAATGAAAAGGAGATACTTAATGTTTACAGTGTTTGGAATTGGTAAAAAGATAAAGAAAAAGCTTACAATTTTGATTTTAGATTTTTTGTCCAGGAATTAAAGCTTTATTTTACCTAATTTCTTTTTTTGTTTTGGGAGAAACTCTTTGAACTATCTTGTTTATTTATTTTTATGGTAATCTATGTCATCTTTTTCAAGAAATTAAAAATGATTATGAAAAAATGTAATAGTATCACATATTTTATTAAGTTTATTGGCTTTAGCTTGTTATGCAGAGATATCAGATACAGAATTCTGTCCTTTTGTTTTGAATATTGAACAATATCACGTTGAATGGTCAAATTATAACAGAAAGATTAGACAAAAAAAATGTGGGAGTGTAAAATCTTCAGGTTTAGTTAGTTCTTATGAAGGTGCTTCGTCATGCTGTAGAATTTGCTTGCATTCAAAGGATGTTCTAACTATGTTCACTGAAGTTCGGATAATTGGTCCAAATGTACTTCTTCAAATATCCCAAAAATTCTGTCAGGGCTCCTAAACTTGACTAACAAGCGAGACAATAGATTTGAGATAGACTGATTGGCGGGTATAAGGGGAAGCACCAGGAGTTTTGGAACCGGAAAAGAAAAGGATTTTTTTGCACTGCTTGCTCATAGCGCACATCCTAACTGTATATTTTGTTTAGCCGAAGAAGCATCAGATAGTTTGGAGTTCTTATGTGGATGATGGATCAATTGTCACATCAATGTGATAGTGCTTGAGTTTTTAGATCATTTAGTAAAGTACTGAAGACTGGTTGGGAAGTTGAATCATCTCATTGTGACTAAACCGAATGTTTCTGTTCTTGTTAGTGTGATTAGTCAATTGCTTAAGGATCCTCAGTTTGTCATATGAGTTGCAGTTATTGCATCTTTTTGAGATACCGTTGAAGTGCTTTGTAGATTTTGGGATACCCATTTGATGGTTCAGATATGCATATTTGGCTGGTTCTCAGATCAAAAGTCAACTATTTGGTGTTCTGTCTTTGTTTTGGTGCTTGATATCCTCAAAGAGCAAGAGATGAATAGCCCTTGCCAGGTCAAGTGCATAATCTATGCATTGTGCCATAGCTCATACAACATTTAATTGGTTAAAGGGATAATATACTGCTTTGCTCTGAAAACTGGTAACCAATGAATTTGGGGCAAGGTAACGGGGCAATAGCTCATGTTTCGTCCAGGCCAACATCCTGAGAGAATGAAGCTTATTGAATTGATAGTCATATGTTGGACAGGAGAGCATTGCTAGAACAATTTAATATAACATATCATAAGAAACCTGTAGATCAATTACCTGAGCTTGAGGAAGTTCATGAGTGAAGGTTAAGATCTTGTGATATCTAGGCTTCAGTTTGACAAAAGAGCAAGAGTTCAACTACATCATACAGGGATTAACTTTTCTAAATACTAATAAATAGATAGTGTACCTTTGGATCAATATTGAATCTTCCGAAATTTTTGACATCCTAATCACAGTGGGGATTGGTGTGAAGTTTCTTAAATTGTAGGTTGTAGGCTACTACTTGGGTATTTTGGGTGGTGATTAGGCTCCTATTCTGGATGAGTGCACACATTGATCAATACGCTATCTATGATTAGCTCATTCTCTTTACTTCTTTACTTAATCTAGTTTGTGCTCTACCTCTTCTTCTTTAGGCCTTCTGTTTTCTTTTCTCAAAAGGATTTATCTTGAGCTTTATGAGTTAACTTATTTCTGGCAGTGAAAAATTTCTATTTCTTTGGTAGCTTAAATTCCCTCATTGTCATGTTGGAGATTACTAGTTCAAAACACAAAATAGATTGTCTTCATGCAGAGGGTAGGTCAAGGACCATTTAGCAAACTGATTCACCTCAAACTCTACATGTGCAGGAACCCTCTCCACTGAGTTTTTCATATATTGGTGAAATTTCTCTTTGATTACAAAATTAAAATGCTTGCTGAAATTTCTGTATATTGGTGAAATTTTTACTCTGTCTGTCACAAAATTAAAATGCTTGCTGATGAGCCTTTTTCAAGCAGACGAGCTCTGACTTTGCTAGGATAGTTAGTTATGTGGTTTTGTATATCATAAATGCAGCCTTCTTTATGGAGCAGAAGACCCTTCGGTAGCGGGAATGGTGTTGGACAGTGCATTCTCAAATTTGTTTCACCTAATGATGGAACTTGTGGATGTATACAAAATCCGGCTTCCTAAATTTACTGTATGTGTCCCTTCTTTTGTTTGTTTATTCTGTTCGAAGTATATTTTGGAAATAAAATTTAACTGTCTCCTAACCAACGTGTAAATACATCCGTAAACATGTCTGTATAGCTTATTTGTTTTGTAAGCATTATTCCCTAGGAAGAAATAGAAATGATAGGTTTTTATGTTTTGTTGGGAGTACATGTCTAGTGGACATAATTGTTTTTGCTCCTGAGACAGAAAAATCCTTACAGGTTATTGTTGTTCCTTTCATTTTTATTATCAATTTGTGTAAGCTGAATGATTTGTTCTAGTTAGCAATCTGTGGACAATAAGTGCAGTTTTACTTGGAAATATTTTTCTTGAATATCAAAGTATATTTTTAAGGGTAAATTTTATATGCACTGATAGTGTATATACACCATCACCGTTAGATTCATAACACGTGCAAAAGTTGGATTTCAAATTCAAAGTTTGCATAGTTGTCATTCATTCAAGACTGAGAGTGTATACACTATCAGTGTAGGAAAGATTAATCCTATTTTTAAACTTTTTAGTGTAAGAAAGATTAATCCTATTTTAAAAATTTTTTCTTCTGTAGGTTTCTTTTCTTTTCACTTTTAATATTTCTTGTAGTTGATTTTGCAGCATATATATTAAGTGGTTAGGTGTCTTGATTGATTTTTATATTATCCTACTCTCTTTACAGATTTAGTTGAACTAAATCCAGATTGAGTGTTCTCCTTCCCTTTTTAATTAAAGAGTTCCTTAATGTTAGGTGTGAGATCTACTAATTTGTAATGTGGGAAAACGCTGTATTCAATTAGGAAAGAATGAAATCTTTTTGCAATTTTAACCAAAGTCAACTTCAAACATCGTTATGCCAGATCAAACTTACATGGTTCATGATTTGATTTCCTGGCAAATTATAGGTCTATTTCCTTTTTAAAATGGTCATTAATTTACTAATATGCCCCATTTAATGTACATCTTTGTTAAGAAATATACTACTCCATTAATAAAAAATTATTCTAGTTGGAGTAATAAATACAATAATAAAAGTGTTGTGTGAAAGTAAGAGTAGGCCTATCGATATGCTATGGTGGGAGTGCATGCAAATAAGATGCTTGCCAATATACGAAAGCTGCCACTGCAACGGCGGGAGTGCATGCAAATAAGATGCTTGCCAATATACGAAAGCTGCCACTGCAACGGCGGGAGTGCATGCAAATCAATACACGAAAGCTGCCACTGTTTGAACACGTTCGAAATTTTTTCATTTAAACAAAAGAGAATGGCACTCAGTAAATGTTTATTATTGACTATTTTCATATTCTTTCTTAATTTAAGAGACATTTTTTATTATCTTTCAAATGATTCAAAGAAATGCTGAGGCATTACTGTTTGTAGTTACTGTGCTTTTTCCTCATCTTCTCTTTTCCTCCTTTCTTCTCCTTTCTTTTCTTCTCTACCATTTTTTTGGCCTGTTTATTTCCCCCTTTTATTACCAAAAGGAAATTGACTTCACTGCTGCAATCCTTCTTTTCATATACCTCAGTCATCTTGTCTGATTTTCTCTTTCTCCTAGTAATCTGCATTTCTCTTGCTGCAATAGCGCCACTTGAGGGCAGCATTATGCTGATTTTCCTGACTTCATGCTGTGCAACAATTTTACTCTAGGTCTTTGCCGCTCTTTGGACAAGTTTCTTCTGAAGAATTCCATTCAAGCCCCTCCCCATTCTACTTTTATTTTTCAGCTAGTCAGTGACATCATATTTGATTTTGATTGCCGTAAGTATGAGAAGATGAATACCCCTTAATAACACTTTTGACCACCCATTGATGTTTATGCTTTTGTGAGCGGAGGGAGAAGGGAGAGGGATGGGGAAGGGCTGAGGGAGTTTAAAGGAGCTGGGAGGGGGAAAAGGGATGCACTGGATAAAGATGTGGGGAGGGAGGTAGGAGAGGGGAGGGACCAGGGGAAGGGCAAGAGCTGGGAGTGGGAAGACTGAAGAGGGAAACAGAAGGTGCAAAGAAAGAAGGAAAAAGGGGATGGAAGACAGCTGGAAAGGGTGGAAAAGAAAGGAAATGAAATTGTCATGTAGGAATCAATAGGTGAATCTCATTAGAAGCCACTGTACCACCATTGTAGAAATCTTTCAAGATACAACATTTTTTAAATTCTAAAAAAGAAAATGGAGTCAAATAGCCTCCTAACTTGGTTCTTTTAATGCACTGAGACTTCCCTCTGTCTCCAGGTTAAGGTGGCTCTTCAATACATGCGGCGAGTGATTCAGAAGAAGGCCAAATTTGATATTATGAACCTCGACGGCGTACAGGTTTTGATAACTCATATGATTCTTTAAAATGATAAACTTGGGTGCATGCATAAAATCTCCATGGCTTCTAGACTATCGGCCTATTTCATTTGCTTCAGCAAAGTTAATTTACATTTTTTGAACTTAATAGGTATTTGAGGTGTTCTTAGTTGCTGTTGACATAATGATTTTGAATAACCATTTTAAACTGAAAAACCTGAAGTGCCTGTTGTGGAGCTTTTGACAATGACGTTGCTTTTAAATTCTTATAACTCCAATAGTACCTTGTAGATTTTCAAACAGACTTCATAATATCTTGTTTAAGCAGCTGTTACAAAAGCTAATGCATGTTTGACGGTCCCTATCTTTGAAAGCAAAGGTTAGAAGAAAATCATTGTAATCTGCACAAGTGGCCAGCATGTTTGTTTGTTTGTTTTCTTTCTCTTTTCTGGTAACTTGCCTGCATGTTAGCCTCCTTGTCTTTTTTCATCTTGAGGAGGCTTGGTGTTGATTCTGTGGTTCATCATTGTATTGCATTTCTTTTTTCACTCCACCTGCAGGTTGCGCCCAGAACATTTATTCCTGCTTTGTTTGGGCATGCTAAAAATGACAAATTTATTCAGCCTCACCACTCAGATCTAATTTTTGGGTCTTATGCGGTATAGATTCTATTGTGAGATCATTTCTTTTATGTATATGATGCACACTATATATGTATCATGGTTGTGTAGTTCTCAGTGTTGTTCTTTGACAGGGTGATAAGAATATGATCAAGTTTGATGGCGACCACAATTCCTCTCGACCTCAGTTTTATTATGACTCAGTAACAATATTCTTCTATAATGTTCTTCACCCTCCTCAACTTACACCTGCCCATACAAGTAAAAAAGAGAAATACTCTGATTTGGGGGACCTCAAGGTCAGTGATGATCCAGATGAGGTAACTTCTACTTATCATATTGTCATTTGTGATTCAATAGTGCTTGTCTATATTCTTTTGCTGTTTGGGTGGCAAGAAGACAAGAGGTGGTGGATGTTCATTGATACAAACCATATCCTAGATACTAAAAGTTAGTGAACTTTGGTTTCTCGTAAACTGTTGAAACTTCATACCGTGTGAATATGGGCAGTGAACTTTACATTATATCATTGCTGGACCTCAATTTGCTTAAATGTGTTCAATGATTAGGAGGCATTTTTAATCCCCTGTTTTTTTGCTATTTTTTTAGGCAGGGGAGAGGTAGGATTTAAGAAGCGGGAAGGGGGAAGGGGACTCAAAACCAGGACCTTTAATTCCTAGGGCCTCAAGCTTAGCCACTAGACCGAGGTCTCCTCAGCTTCAATCCCCTGTTTAATTAACTCAAATTCCAATTAATCTCTAGATTTTGTTATTTATGTGAATTGGGAAAGGTGTCATCCTGATATACCTGAATGGAATTTTGTCTGCTTGTATGTATTATTTGTTTATGCTGCTAGTGGGGGGAGGGGGTTGGAGTTGATTGATTGTGGCATAATCTATATCAAAACTAGAAAGAATGGGTTAATTCTGGGTAATGCCTTCTCATTTTACTGTACTAATTTTGCAATTCAATAGACAGCTGACTATGTATCTTTGGTTATAACATCAAGCTTGTAGCCACTAAGCACTCTGCTTGCTGCTTGTGGTTAACCTGATGTTTGTGGGTCTCTGATTATTCTTTCAATGTGAGCTGATGGTAAGATTTGTTTTTCCCTTTAGAATCTGTTATATGAGATCATAGCTGGTCTTCAAAGTGTTGGCGCGGATGCTTCTAGTTCATCGTCTGCTCCCCCTGGCATTTCAACAGCAAAGTCAGTGGGCGAACTTCTTTCTGAGATTGCTCCAGTTGTGAGTGTACTTGTATGAATATTTCCTCTGTTGTTTTAGTTCTTGTTTTCTTGAATGAGAAAGTTATTCATATTTATTGGAGCATAGATTGATGAACGTGAAAATTGTTTTTAAGTTCATTGATTGCAGATGTTAGTTCTTTAACTGATTGCAGGATTCACTGGTCATTGAGGACAACCTAGTGAATTGTGCTGATTCATCACATGCACAGGTATTGTTGGCTGTTCGAAATCTTTTGGTGTGTTTTTATTTCTATTATTGCATACCTGTGTGATATCAATTTTCTGAGTTGTCTAATGCTACATGATGTGGTAAAAAAATAACTGAGCTTTAAATTTCTCTTTGACGCACATATACCCACATCAAATTCTAAGCTACTTTATACTGAAGCTCTGTTGGTTTCCCTGGTTTCGTACTTGCATTATTCATCCATTTTTCTTGTTTTTTGGGTAATATGATCTCGAGGAAAGTCAAAGCTGAGAGTGGGTGTGGATGTTGTTGAGAGTTAAAGTAAAGGTATCATCGTAATTACAACCAAATGCTACTGCCATAGATGCTACTAAGTTAGCCACATTATGTAGACTCTTCGTTCTCCAAAACTACCTTGACATGGTATTAGAGCTGTGATTTGCATTTTTTGTTCTTCAATCCTCCTGGAGTTCGGAGGGAGTCTTAATTCCACATCAGTTTCCTAGGGATTTCCAAGCAAGTTGAGAGAGATTTCAGGTAACTCCAGTCACTGTCATTTGGTTTTGAGTTGACTAATTTGTTTCTTCCTCATGATGTCATTGACCAGGCATGGTATCATTAGACAACATGCAGTTAGAATAGCATTCCCCCCAAAACTGTTTTTGCACATATATATGCAACAAGAAGGCATTTTTGTTTTAGCAACTCCATTTTTTTAGGTGGAGTTTGAAGACAAACTTTTCTGTATGCAACACTTTTCTGTAAAAGTGTTGAATGGGTTGGAAATTTATTTTTTACTTTATCAATACAAATACGAGCTGGTATATGAAACTGATTTTTTACCTTGAACATGAGCACATAGTATACACTGTTCTTTCATCATGAGGCAAAGCAAGTAAATCTTGAGAAGTCATAAACAGAAACTAGTAGATACTTAAAGTCCCAACCCTTCATCCTCCTGCATGCGTCAATTGATATCACTTGAAAATTTATAGAGGTGGTTCAATCTTTAAGCCTGTTTTCCATATATGTCTACAAACTGGAAACTTGCGGTCTATATACCTAGTACAAACCCTAAGTCAAGCTCTAGTCCTCTCTCTCTCTACACCCTTTGGATTTTCTCTACTTTTTGAAGCTAATTGCATTTTCCCCTTCCGTGCTTAGTTTTCTTTCATTCTGTATTGAGTTCCTCGTAGCATGTCATTGCCATTGCATCCTTCTTCATCAAAGGACATGAAGAGACTTTGTAAATTCCTTGTACCTTTACCAATTCAACCATATTTTTGGACTGAACTGAAATCTACTCTCCAGGAAAAACACTTGTTGCATTTTTAGACCTCGTTTACAAGCATCAGTCCACCATTGACTCTGCCCATCTTCTATCATCTTTTTGTGTTCTAAATCCAAGCATAAATAATTTTGGTTGGTATCTATTTACAGTATTATGATCCCCTTTACAACAAAACTTGCTGCCTGTGTTCTGACATGTTTCCTATGATTGATCCAAACAACATTTAATGATCTTGCGCTGAAAAAGGGGTGTCCTTGTTCATGTTTGAGGCCTTTGTATAATTTTTTATTGCCTTGAGGAGTCAGAACTACTTTGGTAGGTTAAGAAAGCTCGAGTCAAGAAAGTGTAAGCTTCTCCTGTCAAAGCCGCTTAGTTAACACATTAATGAAAAATGCATGGAGGTGTTGTAAAGATGTTTGGACAATTCAGACAATGCTGGAATATTTTGACAAAGTTGGTCTTATGTAGGTTATTTTGTTGTATGAGTAATAGCTTTTTGTTCCAATAGAAATATAATTTTAAGGGCATTGAAATGCTCTTTCAGTATATGCTGAATAAGTGAGAACTGACAAATATGGGATCAAAAAGTCTAGGTAGCTAAGGCAATATCAGGGATTGTAGTTTTTTTGCTGGAGTTACTTTTCTTTGAAGGTCAAACCCTTTTGGCTGCCCGCATCAAATTTAAGTCACCAAATTCATCTTCACTTTTTCCATTATCTAAGCCTTTAGCTTTCTTAGTTGTTTGGGTTCATTAAAATATGAGTTTGCTGGTGAAGCTTCACAAATCCCATTCTATCCTTTCATATGAAAATTGATAGGAACCAGCACTTGAAAATGTCTCATTGACCCTCGCAAGTAATGGCATGCACATATGGACATGATTGAAGTGTATCATGCAGCACCTCTAGTGAGCCCACATGACTATGGGTTTGTATTCTATTGAATGGTATTGAATGAAAAGAACCAATTACTTTGTTTACCGCGTTGCAATGTTACATGGACTTGTCAGTTTGCCTTATCATACCCATATCGACACGATAAGACATGGTTACGGATGCAAGCTGTAGGTAGGTTAGCTGGTGTCTCTGGAGGTGAAAATGGAGAAGATAGAGATGACATAGAGATAGAGAAAATATCACTTATCATTCAACCAGATCTACTTGGCAAGAGGAAACGAATGATGTTAATATTGTTGCAATGGCTGCATGGTGAAGATTGACCACCAGAGAAATTGCTGGTGGCTGTTGCATTTTTTGGAATGTTCTGGATAGAAAAGAAAGGTTGGTTGATGGCTAGAGGAGTTGAAGAGATGTGAGGCTGCTGTAGGGTTTTTTCTTTGTACCAAAGCTTGTTTTTGCATAATAAACCCACAAATCTTTGAAGAACTTATAAAAGTTCCACACAGCTTTTATTGTACTAATGGTTCTGCCCGTATATTATTTGTAAATTATACCATGACCCTCATAGTTTTCACCTCCATTCTGGATGAATAACTATAGCCATGTCCACAAATCTTAAATTTCCCAGCATAGAGAATTTGACTATGGATTGCAAAACCCAATACCTGCAGGTACATGGCCTGATGATTAATCCGATGGTATGTATGACTGACAGGTAACTTATTTGACTAGGGGTTGCCAACAAGTTATCCGAGGGTTTGCTAAGAGGTCCTTATATCCGACTCCCGATATTCGATATTCTCTCTCTCCCTCCCTCCCTCCCTCTCTCTCTCTCTCTCTCTCTCTATATATATATATATATATATATAATTGTTGTGTAGGCTGGCAACTTTTATAGCAAGACTCAATCACAATAAATTTATGTAGTCAAATCATGAGATTAACACTCATCCTCTCAAGTCTCAATCTCAAAAGTTAGTTTTGAGATATTTCAAACCATTTAGATGCGTGTATTTTGGTTTCATAAAGGATTTGACAGGTTTAATTAGGTGGTACAGGGTATAGGTGGTTAATCCAAAACCGATAGCAGGCAAGTTTGATAATGGGATATAAACCGTTAAGGTTGCCTGTTAGGTTTTGGTAAGGGACTTGACTAAAAGGGTAAGGCCATCAATATGGTGCTGGCATTATCCCTACAAACAAGGTGCCCTTGCTCTTCATCACCATATTGATCATAATTAGGAAGCTCAGATTACCATTCTTCATAGTCTCCATCCTCCAAAACATCGTCCAAGTGAACTTGCTGCTGTAGACAAGGGTAGTCATGTCCTGTTCCCTTTAATGTCGCCTTCTCAACCAAAATTCTGCAATCTTCAGCTGTGGGCTTCGAGTCAAATTGGTCCTTCGCACAAGACTTAGAATGAAGGAAATCTTCTGCATCCATGCTTCTGTTAAAGTCTGGAACTACAATTTTAACTCCTTCAGAATTTAAATCCAGAGCTCTTCCCAACCATTCTTCAAGTCTACTGCAATCCAGATGTTGATATCTGCAGGACAATGAAATGGTTGATGCTCTTCTCATCATCAGTCTTCTTCCTTGTTGCCTCTTTTTTATAGGTTCAAGGGTTCCTGTCACCTACTGGTAACCTTGCTCTAGCTTCTGCACAATCCCTACACTCTAGCTTTTGAACCTGTAGCATGAGCTATTATGTGATATACTACATCTCCATCATCTAACCTTGCTATTGGTTAAGCTTTGGGCTCTTGCATGTGGTGGCATCTCAAACCTTTAACTCCTAATACCAAATTCATTGTAGCAAGGATAATCGGATCTTGAAAGAAATAATCCTAGGGAAGAAACAAGATGGATTCTGAACAAAAGATAATTAGGGGAGAATGATGATGCAAAACAGATGCTTTCCTTTTGGATGGAAGGAAATGGTGTGAGAGAAGGTAAAGAAAGAGATATTGGTATCTTTTCGCATGGGAGTTATAAGTAGAGAGAAATGGGAGGATGGAAACTAAAGGATACTCTCTCTGAAATTGGAGGCAATTGGGAAGTGAATGGGCCATTTGAAGCCCACAAATTGTCACATTTGCCTATCAAAACAAAACCAACGAGTTTAAGTTTGAGGGCGAATGTGTAAACTACACATGTTAATCATCTTTTCCCCTTCAATTCTCTTCAACTACTCACGAACAACATGGAAGAGAGTAGTTACCCTATCTCTTCTGTTTTTTTCTTTTCGTTTCTTTTCTATTCCCTCTTGCACTACCAAACTTGGCAATAGAGAAAGCTAGCTCTAATTTTCTGAAAAAGAATATAAATTTGGTAACAACTTACAACCAAGTACTATGTTATGGAGAAACGCTAACCAAGCCTTAAGTCCTACTGTATCATACTGTTTTATAAAATTCTAATCCTTATCCTCAATAATAAGCAGAAAAGAGGACTATAAACTAAAACACTGATTTAAACCACTCTTAACACAACTTAAACACATAATCAGAAATTATTAATCGACACTGCTGGTCCTGGATCACAATATATGGTGTTTTTCAGCATTTGATGTAACCATCTTAATTTGCATTTTTTCTTTATGATCTCTTAGATGTTTGTAAAACATCATCATTAATATGCATATAATGGACATCTCCAAGCCTAAGGAAAGAAAGAAAGTTTTAGTTCAAAAGTGAGAAGATTGTCTATGTGGTAGTATTAGAAACATGAAGATATGAGAAAAAATATAAAGGCTGTAGCCTGTATATATTTGTATTGCTTTGTCATCACTTTGTATAACTAGGGATTCTGTCTTTTAGTCCTCATTTACAGGATTCACTAAATTACAGGAGGTAATTATTTAATCTGAAGACTACAATGAGACAGTGGTTTTATGTCTTAGAATAAATGTGTATTCCAGTGTAAGAAAAAAATTATTGGGTGTAAATTATCTTTATCTTGATGCTCTTTGTTATTTTTCGTGGCCAATAGGACATTATTGATTCTAAGCTTGAAAGTAGGAGATGAGCATTGTGAAAGGGTAATTGGATTTGGAAAAGTATACTTCTGGATCAGAGAATATGAGTTTCTTACTGACAGATAATTTTGTTTATTTTCATTTTTTAAATACTAACTGGGAGGCAATACAGATTATTGTATGGGACAGTGAAATCTGACTTGTGCCTATTGCTTCTTGGAGTAATTATAGTTATCCAGAATAGGAAAGGGAAAAAAGCACCAGTTATACTAGTAGTATATTGACACGGCCCAAGTTGTTGAGGATTAATTTATAACCCTGGTTAAATGACTCAAATATTCCCACCTTGTTCTAGCATTCTGCCTGAAATCCTCTGTCCCCCCCCCCCCGAAACAAAGGGGAAAAATATAACCTGTTTTCCTTTCCTCAGAACAGTTGTTGATCAATAAAGAACCAATACCTGCTCAGCTTTTGTGTTTCTCCAAACCCATTATCTCCCTTCATTGCTCTCTTCATCAAAAAATCTCATCGTCCTCCCAAAGGAATTGAACATTCGAACAGAAACGCAAACAATTGGTGGCTTTAACCACTGGAATGGTAGTGGAGGGAGGAGGAAATTGGGTACAAAAGATTTTCTAATGTGCAAATTTAATGTGCGTCCATGTCTACTGTCTCCTTTTGTAGTCTATGCCTTTTATAGTGGTATTCAACTCATGGAATCTCAAAAAAGGTATGCAGGTGTAAATGGATGGATCAGGTTCTAGACTATCATAGCAGGAAATTGTTAACTACTAAGTTTGAGGAAGGGTCATGGCCCTCGAGTGTGGTTGGACTGGGGAATTGGGTAAGACGGCTGGAGAGGATGCGGGAAACTGTGGCTGTTTGAGTCATTTGACGGGGGTATAAAGTTAAGTGGGAGTGCCAGTATCGCATTCCTAGTCATACTAATAACTGAATTTCACGAGAACTGGGAATTTTTATCATTAATTGGTGTTTGTCCCTGAATATTAATATGCTTGCATGGGTGCTTGTGTCTTGCTCATTGATTCATCAATTTCCTATCATCTTTATTTTCTGGATTTCTGTATCCGCTTCATTTCAAAAATCAAGGTCTTTTGTCATACACTATTAAGCATTTTCCTAATCTAGTATAATTGTATTGCTGGCATGTTTTAACCTTGACGCAAAAAGTGATCCCGTTTTGGACGCATTAAAGAAATGCTCCTTAAGCTTGCTAAATGGTGGATATGCAACCCTGATTTGTCAGGACAAGCCCAGTGGCCAGAATGAGGAGTCTTGCTCATACACCAGTTCAAATAGGGAAAGTTGGGGAAGATGCTCATCTCTTGGCAGTGATGATGAACCTTGCTTGGATTGTACAGATGATGTAAGTGATCAGGTATCTTCTTCACTCTTGCTTCCCCCTCTCTCCCCTCCCCCACCCCCCGGGCCGTGCGGGCCCACCCCAAAAAAAAAAAAAAAACCGGGCGGGACTCTGGACAACAATTAACATGTCTGTCTTGCCGAAGTTGTCTTTCAGAGGACCTAGCACTGCAAGCTAGAAGATAATGTGTTTGCATATCTTTCTTTTTTTTTTTTTGGGAGAAGAGAAGGGGGGTGGGGGTGCATGATGACATTGGCTTGTGAATGGCGCTTGATCAGTGTCATAGAGGGCAAACTAAACCTTCTGATGATTTTAAGTCATTTCAGAGGACTCTAAAGGTGCTTGCTACACCTGTTCGAAGCGTCCGACAGACAGCAATAGGTACAACACATGATGAAAAGAATAAGAAGGCGGTTTCAACAACAAAAAAGAAATCCAAACGTGACAAGTTTGAAAAGCTGGAGGCTCTAAGCCAACGTCTTCGTCTCTGCATTCTGAAGAGAGTTAATCATAAGAGACACTGCTCCTCATAACCACGTGGTAGGTGTATAATGCAAATCTTCATTATTTTCCTTTCTTTGTAGCTGTGTTAGTGGCCGCCTATCATTCGTTCATCTTTACAAGAACTTTGTATTTCATTGGTAACAATGTATGTATATACTCCCTGTTTTTATTAAGTAGCTCAAAGTAATTGCACAGTGCTGTTTGCTTTTCTTCCTAAGAACCAAGTAATTGAGAGGGAGAACAATATTTGCCACTCTGACATATCATGTATGCAGTATTCGCTGCTGGTTGCAGTTAATTTTTGCGGAGAGGTTGGCGCATCTGTATTGCGAGGTAGTTTGATAATTCATGATCTCACGCTGATCTACTTGCTAACTCTTTGGCCCGAGTCATCTTTTGTTAAAATTAGTAATTTCTCGAAAATACATCAAAAAATCAAGGGAAGGTCGACAATATAGTCAAGCAATGTCTGACTTTTTTTTTTTTTTTTTCCGGAAACAAAAATTAACACACCCAATTAGATTAGAAATACTCATGAGTCATCGTTAAATTGAGTCAAAGACTAATTTAAGGGGGATCTACTAGAAAATACTGTTCAGTCAATTGGTAACTGAACAAGCAAGCAATGTCTGACTGACTTGCTACATTAGAAGACAGAATTTCACTGTCATACTTGGTATTTTCTCTTGGATAAGACGCTCAAGTAGACATTACAATATAGAGCTGTACGACATGCCCGTCCTTTGAGGCATTCCTCTCTCTCTGATGATTTCTGGGAGAGAAGGGGTGTCGGAGGATAGGTGTTGAGGTCAGTTAACGGTGACCACCTGTTCTTAATTTTCAAGAGTGTGACTCTCCGTCGTGTAGGAATTGCTCCAAAACAATCTCCTTGAGGGGATGACTTTTTTTTTTGGTATCACATATGAAGAAATTGGCCGCAAGATTGGACATATGTAATTGCTAATTAATGAACAAAAGAGTTTAAAGTAAAGGATCCAAGAAACGCTGAAAAGGTAGACCAGTTAGGGTAACTTTCTTGGAAAATAAAATTAGGGATAAACTGTTAATAACCGTTTCTGAAGGTATGAGGGTAAGATTAGTTAAAAAACAAATGCAGGACACAGATCACGTACATGTTTTTAATGCCATGTATGGTCCACAAAACCTTGTTCTAAGTTTGCTTAACATTCAAAGTAATTTACGTGAATGAACAAAATACATAAATTTCATAAGTTAGAATATATAATTAGTTTTTGATTTAATATAATTTAGTTAAGAATAAAAGAAACAAGAAAAAAAAAATATATATATATATATATATATATATCCAGACACGTCTAGCCCCTGATCCCAAGCAGCAAAATCCAACCGTATGTACCGTAAATACTTCTACAGCAAACTGACTCACTAGAAAAGACAAAAGCAGTTAAAGCAACAAATCGAGAATGGTATTTATACAAAAAAGGATAGAAAAGTATCGTTGGAAATTAAAGAAAACATAAAATTTAGGTTCCTGACTTGCAATATTAGAACTGCACTAGCACTAATTTACAGCATGAACAGAGTCAGAAGTCACCCTCAGAAATCAGGCCTGTTCCTGTTTCATCCACATATTGCAGAAAAGACCCCACATTAGTGTGTTATATTTTGATGAAAGAATATCTAAACATATCTAACTATGATCACAGCCACCGAAAGACCATAAACTACGTTGTGTCATGATACACCAACTCCAGTGATTCCTTGAGAACTAAACTATAACACACATTGGATCTTCTCAAGTTTGGATCACCCATATATAAAGGAAGCAGATGCTGAATCCATGCTTAAAAAGCGTTTCTTTCCTCCAGGTGATGGCGACCCTCCTGGACATAATCCTGCAGGGTTATCACGTGAAGTTAAGCAGCTTTCAGTGGAGCAATCAGCACACTGCTTGATCTGTCGAATCACTTCTTCAGGACTATGGATTCTTCTAACCTCAGCAGATTCTGAGGGTTGCAGTCCATAAGCATTATGTGATGCACCAATCTGTGTCTTTGTTCCCAATCCTTGATAATCCTCTCTGTCAGGGCCTCTAATTGTACATCCAACAATTTGTTCTGCTAGCATTTTGCAAGCCCTCTCCAACATGGCCATATACCTCTGCTCAGCATCCTGGCGAATAAGCAGGTGCTTTTCTGCCTGCATTTCATAGATAATAACTAGCTTAGAAACTGGTTACAGTAAGAGCTCTAGTACATTGATAGCCTTGGCATAAACAGTAACTACTTGGACGTTTCATCAATTTCCAGGGATGACAATTGTCTGCATGCGATAAACCCAAGTAAAATATGCAAATAAACGAAGCCAACAGTTATGCTTTTCATATCCTGAAAAAACAGAATTGGATGCTTTATTGAGATTGAATTATAGTATTCTAACTCACAATCTAGAAGAAAACCAAAAGCAAGACAATTTAATAGGGCAGCTTACTTCAACTTGCAAGTGCAGTTTACTTTGGACTTCCATCTGAACCCTCAATGCCTCCTTCACCTCATAACCCCTAGACATAGTGTTCACGACCTCTTATAGTACTGCAATCAGGATATGAACACATTCCTTGATTTCAGAAAGAAAACGAGGACTCTTACTCGTTCATGTCAGAGTCTGGCAAGCTTTGCGGAGACTTATTCGCATGAGGACTCTCTAAAAGATAAGCAGCAGCAAGTCCTGCCATTTGATAACTAATTCAATTAAAAGCCAGCATATCCAACGATGCATTAATTGAGATAGTATTCAAAGGAATCTTCCTTGGAGTATAATTAGCCATGGTGCACCTATGTTCTTATCTTCACTCGAGTATGAGACAGAGCCACACAGACACCTACCCACCGCCACTTACTCGAAAGAATTGAAGATTCACAGTTACTTCTGGTTTTACCTTTTCATTTAAGTTTAGCATATGCCCAGAGCAAAAGGGTTTTGTCTCTAATGGGGAAGACATGGTGCACATTGACGAGTGCCCCCCGTCCATAAGCAAACCTGATGTAGGAGAATTCATACGCAAGGTGGGCTCTTAATCTAAGGCTCAACTAGAAGTCATGTCTTTAGCGAGAAATTAGAGCAACAGGCACAGAACACTACATAACAGAATATAACTTAATAAAGAAATACCTAAACCTACCATCTTTCGAAGCCTCAACCAAATCTTTCCCAGATTGCTTACCTAGTCTGTATTTCTGTAACAACATGCAGTGAACATTTCCGTCAAAGAACTTCAAGAGAATTTACAGAGTTGCTAGCTCCCAAAAATCACTTCAACATGAACATTAAGACAAACCTGGAGGTGACTTTTCAAATGGAAAAGAGTGAGTCCCTTTACACCCATTGTCCTCATTATAGCCTTTGGAGTAGCTTCTGCAAGTGGCTTTCAAGTAACTTAGTCAGAGTAATGAAATTATGGTTCACATTTCAATTGAAAGGGATAGTTGCATTCAACATCCAAGTACAAATTTTCAAGGTATAGAACAGACAAAAGATGCAGCTTCATGCTAAGGTCATCACTAGCCAGCAACTACTCTCATTGCTTACCTATAGGCCCAAATATGAAAAGAGATGCCTATAAGAGCTCCATATGTTCTCGTTGTAAAATGCTCATTATAGCCATCAGTTTCATTTACATGTAAAAATAGACTAGCAAAAATCCACAACATAGATTCACAGAGTACAAGACGCCGTATATTGTCAGCTAATCAAATCATGGTGTTGAACAACACACTTGACACTGCAGTATAGTTCAAATCTATACTATATATTAAAAGAGAAAGTTGGATGTGGTGATTTGGTGTTTTAGTTTTCTCTTTCCAATACTACCCTTGCTATAGAATAATTAAACCATGTTATCGCTCTAAATTAGGATGCCATTATAACATTATTGGGGGTATTTGTGTAAATTCTGAAGAAATATATTTCGGTTTGGATTATGAATGTTAATCTCTACAAGAAAAAGGAAAGTAAACATGGATGAATTGCAATCAGAATCAGATTTGGAATGAGATTACTTTAACAATTCTATTGAAAAAAAAGACACTAAGCATGGTTTCGAGTTATAGAGGTTCAAAAGAATCTATTGTCAAGAATCTATTGTCAAGTATGTCTTGCGGGTTTTGCCCTATCTTTAGTCCAAGATTGGAACCAAAGCAACCTGGAAAATAGCTGTGCAGAATCTAAGAGGAACATGGGATGATGAACAAATTTAAGGCATAAAAACCAACAGCAAAACACAATATGCAAGAAGCTGTGGTTGAATAATTTTTCCAGACAAGGATAGAAGACAAACAATTTTTATATACTATACATTTCGCAATAAAAGAAAAAGAAAAAAAATGTAACAGTGGCATATCTAGCATCTTGAACATTTTCCATCTATAGAATCCAGAGGCATTGGCCGATGAAAGTTTTGGGATTAATATGGAACTTATTAAATAAAATTATATTAATTAAGATGTCATGGGAAAAACGTCCATTTATTTCCTTTCAGAATGAAATATTTATGGGATTTTTTTATTAAAAAATCAAAGCAAAATTTCTTCACATGGGCTTTGGTAATTATTATTATATAATAACAGGGAAAAAGTCTGGAGAAGGGCAATTGTTATATAGTCTAACGTTGGACTGAAAGAAAGAGAAGTCACTCAATTCGATGGTAATGGCATGGGTTTCAGAGATCTACCTACTAAGGCTGTCATTTTGGTTAGTCTATAATTTTGGTGAATATTTTATATAACACTTCTAACAGGTAAGATCATTATTCAACCTTCACCATAAAATTTACACAAGCTGACATATATATGCGTGTCAATAGGTAGAGTAGTGTCAAATCTACTAAATCCGGACCCAAATGCACTATATTTATTCATACCCAGATGTGGACCTAGACTAACCAAAGACCCAGAGTTGCCCGCACATGAGTATGGATACCTGATGTATACATGGATACCTGATAGATATCCATATGTATTTTTGTAATGTGTATACAAAAAAAACCTAAAAAATAATAACAGACATGGATATCAAAGATGAAATGAACATTATACAATTGCCATTTTAAAATAACAAAATTAACATTCAAGAATGTCGCATGCAAGAATTAACTAAAAGCATGATACACAACTAACTAATTATATTTGTTCAAAATATTATCACTTAATCATGGGTCTAGATAGAGTTTGGTCCAGGTTTGGATGTGGGTATTGAGTATATGAATTTAGACAATGCAAACCCACGAATATCTTGCACAGTCTGGGTCTAGATTTGCAACTTTAGATTAATGCTCATAAAAAAACATGATGGGTTTGTGTTAGATATGAACAAATTCCAAACCATTAACATGATTATGTGACTATGTCTAAGTTATCATGCACTCATTATGCCTTTTTCCCCCCCCAGCATCAATAACCATAGAACATTTGTTGAACCAAAAGGTCAAAAAGCTTTTAGGAAAGTAATTTCATGATAGATTCATGCAAGTGATATACAAATACCCATCAAGTATGATCTATTTACCCTTAAAAGAGTATTTACAGGTATTCTGTCTTTACCCCCTCCCCCACCCCCCCTTCAAACAACGAGTATAGTTTTAAATGCGTCACTTCATAATTGAAGCACTTGTAGTTTTTCAGCTTAGGTTTCTCGATTGACAATACACTGCAGAAAAATTACAAGACAGTCCTTTATCTTCTTCAAAGTTAATACTTTTCACATGGCCATTTTTTATCTTTATTAAAAAACTCTGACACTATACAGGTCAAAAGATTGTAATTGAAAAAACATTCAAAGAGAATTAAAAAATAACACTAAAGGACATAAAACACAAGCAGTTGAAATTAGTAGCAATAGCATGTGTTATTTAATTCTTTAGATTTGTGAACTTCATCTTCTTGGACTATCATGAGAAAAGATGCATTCTTCAGATCAAGATATCTATGCAAAAATTACCAAAAAAAAATGTGCAGCGCACATATCCCTACACTAGTTTTGATAAAAGTGAAAACAGACCAACAACCTTGCAGTATATAAGATCTCAAACTAATAGGTTATCACAAAGTAACAAAAGATCATGTCAATCATTTGAGCCCAAATATAAGACTTGAACAACACTCAGAAGCGCAGCTCATTCATTTTGGCTAAGGTCTAATGGGGTTCAACTTTTTCCACATCCTTGTACTGCTGTATAGAAAATCTCTGAACTGAAGGTGAAGTGGTATGGTACAAGTGAGTCAGAGGGATGTTTAAATCAGAATTGTAGCTTTGATGTCATTAACATCTTCAAACAGATCCAAATCTGGTAAGAAACCTTGGTTTATCCGCTTCGGTTCCTTCCCTTCACAGAAGCATGGGCATTGCTAGTTTTTTGGCAAATTGTCAATCAACGGTAACACTAACACATGAATAAGTAAACCAAATCTCAGGATTATCTGTCAACTGTCTACCAAGCAAGCCTATACAGTAGTCTAAGCTCATCTGATGTCTTCCAAATGTCAATCAGATGTTATATTGATGTGGCGGTCAACAATTTTGACCAAAAAAACAATTACAAGAAGAGCTCAAATGGTTTTCATCTTAAATTTGGCAGTTGTCTGGATTTTAATGTAGAATCGTACATCTTAATTATGCAAAAGAGTCAGGGAGAAGGCCAATGACGTACAATACTACTACAGCAAAAAAAGTTTAACATAATTAAACTAGTGGCATTAAAAGAGTGGGCTTTTGGAAGAATAGAGTAATAGGGGATAAAGGCTTAAAAAAATTGACCCCGCTATGTTAATGTCCTAAAACAAGTAAGAGAAGTTTGAAGGATTCTGCAGTTGGGCTAATTGATCACTGAAAGCAGTACCTCTTAAAGAGTTTCAGACCTTTTTTTCACAACTATTCAAAAGATTAGTGTCCCAGACTGCAACACAATAAAGAACGCCCGCAGTAGGGATAAGGGCAGTGGTGGTGAATGATTGACGAAACCATAGAGAGCATATTGGAAGATGGGACAAATATTAATCTGAATTAAATGGACAATCATAGTGCTCTCGCTAGTTTTATTGGTGGTACAAACACATAGCATCCTATATATATATATATATAAAGGAGTTTGTAGGTGACTGTTGGAAAATTTTCATATGTCATCTTTGGGGATAATTTAGGTAGGGAATAAAATCAAATGCAAGTGATTAAGCCAAATATGCAACATTATAATGTATAGTTGAGTTGGATTTGACCTTGGTGCCATCCCATTTGCAATTGGCTTATATTCCACGTGATTATCAAACTTTTAAGTGGTGTTTAAACCACTTACAAATGTAATTGCAATGCTCTTTATCTTCTTTTATAATTGCTGGGTAGCTTTTATAACTACAATAATAGAGGGTCTTAATGCTAAAGATGATTGGTTCAGGAAGCACTTAATAATGAACATGATTGGTTTTGGTTCATATTTCCAATCCGTTACAAGTATAATTGTAGTGTTCTTCAACTTGACAATAATGGAGGCTTTTAATACTGAAGAATGTTGCTTCAAGTGCATGTGCTCAATTTTTTGTTGTGGGTATTTAGACAAGTATGCTCATTTACTTTCTCTCTTTTTGGAGTTTTGGATGTTTAGCTGATATCATAAAAACCGTGAGTTTTCTACTGCAATATTTTCTCAATAGCTATTGTGAGAATATGGAAATTTCATTATAGAATACATGATACATACATATGAATATCCATAGGAACCTTTTTACATTTTCTAACTATATTTCTAAAATCTGATGTTCGTGGCTGCAGGTGGTTAAACTGCGACTAAAGATTATCTATTGACTGCAATTTCATGACCAAGGTAGGATCTAAATCTAGCCTTATAATTTATGCATATTAATTGTTGATTAGATATGGCTATGATTGTATTATAATGGTATAGGAACAAAGGTAATGATATTTTTGCTATTGTTGTTGTGGTATGGTGTGATTATCCACTACAATCCTATTTCTTTTACTTACAAATTTGTTTTCCTTTATAAGTTTGTTGATTTGGCCAATTTACTTATCATGTCATGCACTTCAACTGATTCAATTAAACCAATTACCAAGCAGCTCTAATTAAACCAATTATCACATAGGTTAAAACTCCCACGCTTAGCGCGGCATTCCCCCTAGTAACTAAAATAAAAATAACAGCGAATGAGCAGTCAAATTTTATTAATTTATGTCACTAGTAGCAGTGAAAATTTTTTGGTAAAAGCAAAAAAAATGAAGAGAAAAAGGGGAAGGAAAAGACTTAACTGGTTGGGCCGCCAAGTTGAGCAACGGCATCAACAAAGCGATCGTGAAGGTCAGCTGTCCATCGAAGGCGAGGCTTGGGATCGGAAGTTAAGACGAGACAGGGGTCTCCTACCCCAACCCCAATTGCCCCAATCCCTACTCCAGCAGTAGTCCTATTGCTGCTACTGTTATTGATATGCTCTTCCTGGATTATTACGCCTTCCCTTGGCTGGATCAATCTCGGCAGCATCTGCTCCGTCCTTCCTCCCCCTTCTCCTTCCTTTCAACAGCAACTGAAAACCACCCACCGCCGAGGACCAAGAGGAGGAGATATGGAACGGAACCAATTGGAAAAATGTTTTGAGATTTTTTCACTTCCAAAATGAATGAATTAATGAATCAGATACCAAAATCTAGGGATGCCTTTCTCAAAAGTCAAAAGCTCAGCCAAAAAGACAAAAAAAAATCAAAGGAAAAATTAAAGTCATGCTAGTAAATATATGTTTAGGGCTATAGAAGTGGAGTCAGCTTAAATACACTACTAGTACTAACTACTCGCTGTTTTGTGATTGGGATGCAACGACATTATTATTGCAAGTACCAGACTCTGTCTTTTCGTGTGGTAGTAATCGCAATTGACATGATGGTATATTAGTCTTTAGCTGATGAGTGTGCTGGGTAACGCGGCACACAAATCTACAAAACTGAAATCTAAAAATTGAAATGAAATCAAAATTAAAGTTTGAATTCATTAAATTATTAAATTATTAAATATTAAATGTAATACATTTGAATGTATATCACATTATAAGTGAATAGTTTATCACTTATTTTTTAGATCAAATTCTACTTAGCAAATTCAATATCATTTAACTAATTCAAATGTTCAATTTTTTGTTATCAAACGCATTTGAACATGTTAAGATCTAAATCTATTAGATTTAAATGTTGAATTAAGTTGTCAAGCAGTGCCTAAATTTAATAGATTGGCTTACAATCGAGCTTGCATGTGAATAAGAGATTATTTAACAAACCTCCTACGAGATTTATAACAATTGCAGGTGGTTCTCTTCAATTTTGAAAAATTAGATTGACCTCCCATATTTTTCCTATTTAAGTAAATCATCACAGGCGGGGAAGACAGGAAATGAGTTGGATGGTATAGAGAGAGGAATATAAGTGAAAGGTGCCATATTCGAAATCTCTTATTTACACTAAAAAAACAGATAAATCACCAAAGGAATGCATACTTTAGGACAAACCTAAATAATAGGTAATAGCATGATTTGGTTTTTTGCTATACTTTGAAACAACGGGCCTAATGCGAACTCTTGCAATTGAACCGAAGAACTGAGGCGAGGAGTAATTAGTCCTGCACTTGCAATGGGTTAGACCCTTTCTTAAAGGATCTTTTCTTTTCTTGACTCTTGAGTTATTGTTGGAGCCAAACCTAATAGGTGCAAAGGACAATTGTAAAACCTGTAGACACCAAATTTTTAAATAATTTGTATGTTGCATCTAATTCATGATTTTGTTTTAGATTATCTGCATTTTAGTTGTTACCTTTTTATTTGTCTTTTATTTGCTAATTATTTGTCATATTAATTTTGTTCACGTTTTAGTCTTAGTTTTAGTTTTAAGTTTTAACGTAAAATTTGTGAAAAAAAAAGGAAAGAAAAGAGGAAATTGATGAAAAATGGAAAATTGTGCTTTCGTGGATTTTAGTTTATTTAGATTTAGTTTCTATCCAATGTTAATTTTTTTGTTGTTTTTGTTGTTTGTTATCTATTTTTATTATCAGTTTTATTTAATTAATTTAAAAAAAATCAATCAAAAAAATCACAATCCTATTTCTGCCGAATCCATTTCCACTTCACATTCTAGTATTTTCTATCCTTAGTGCCGGTTTCTTTCTCCACTACCACACACTACTATATCAACTACTAATTACCACAACACTTCCGGATCTCGAGAGGACACACATCCATTTCCATTTGCTGCCGTGAGCTAGGGAGAGAGCAGTGTCATTGGAATTAACGACTGAAAGAGAGCCGAGCCTTTTGTTTCTTTTTTTCCTGTCCGTGAGCTAAAAAAAGAAAAAAAAGAAACCTGCTGCTTTGTATCCTTGTACCCGTGAGCTGGTGAAGGGTCTGAAAACCAGGCCTCCTCCATCCTAGTCGCAAGTTGGAGCAAGGGAGAGGAGGAGCTGGCAGGTGGCATTTCTGGATAGCCGAGAGGAAGAAAAGATTGCAGCTGCTAGTCGTGGGTTTTAGGCTTCAAGCCAAGGTAAATTCTGGACTTAGATGAATTGTTTATGGGTTGACGCAGCTGTCTATACGCATGCATGTGGGTTTGTGAGGTTAGATGAGGAATTGAGACTTAAGAAATCTGGTTTGGAAGAATTGGAGCTGCCGAAAGTTTGAGCTGGAATTTGTAACTCTAATTAGCTAATCTGTGATAATCTGAGCCTAGATGCACATTTAATCAACTAAAACCTGGATGATTAAGATTTGCATGAAGGTAGTTAACCTTGATTAAGTCAGAAAATTGAAAAGATACAAAATCAGGTTGCATGCAAGCCAACCGGGAGCAGGATTGTTTGAATTCTGGTTGAGTAATGTTTTGATGTTGTCCGAATTTGCTTATGGATCAAAATTGATAGATAGTTTCTTATTTGATGTTGCATGTAAGCTACGTGGTCTGAATTTCGGTTACATGGCTGGAAATTTTAATGGAATTTGATGGATTGCTGAAACAATTTTTCCAGTTTAGCCGTTGAAGTTGCTTTGGAAATTGCATGGGTATTTTAGCATGAAATTTGCTGGAAAGTGGTTGATTTTCACTTGGTTAGGTGTTTGACTAATTAAAATTAGATGATTAAGCTTTGCAGGAAGTTTATTGGTTCGGCTAAGCAAGAAAAAAAATGAAATAGTGAGCGGCTACATGCAAGTTCATCCAAGAATGGTGAACAGAATTTCTGGATTTGTGGATGTTTATAGTAGCTGTCCGAATTTGATCTGAACTAGAAATGATAGTAATTTCATTAAGTAGCCTTGCATGTTAGTTTTGGGTACTTAACACAATGATTCAACCGAGGTAAATTCGGATTCATGCCCAAGCACTTGCTGGAAAATGCATTTCAACTTGCCAAATCAGTTTTATATGTTCCAGATTTTTCAACTTGCTGAACGTATTTTATTTGTGTTTGCACTGGATTTTGCTCAGTTTTTCTTTCTATTTGTTTGGATGATGGCTTGCTGCCTAGTTTAAAGCCTTGTGTTTGGATTTGATTGTGTTTGAAAGCTGGATTTTGTAAAGTGCCGAATTGCAGAAAGTTTGCTGCGTTTTTTTTCTATTTCATTCTTTTGCTGTTTAGTTTTCTTTCTACCTTTGATGATTAGCTCCTTCGTTGTTCTTGTTGGTTTGGAGTTAAGTTAAGCAGCTTGTTAATTAGTTAGAGTTAAGATGTTGTTTTGAGAAATATCTAATCAAAGCTTTGTATTTGAATTATAAATCTGGTTTGCACGATTGAAATGGAAAGAAAAGCTGCGGCTGGAAAAATATGCTGAATGCATGAGCTGCCTTCTGTCTTTGCATCAGTTTTCTTCTATATTTGAGTTTGTTTGAATTCTGAATGTGTGTGTTATGATGTTTAGATTAACTTTGAATGTTTGGTTGAAAGATTTTTGATCAAAATGAGTGTTGAGGTTGATATCTGTTCGTGAGAATGCAAGTTGCGATGGTTTCTTGGCTGCAGAAATATTTGTTTTGGTTGCAGAATGTTTGCTCACGTAGCTTGCATGAACCTGCATGGAAATTGTTTCAAAATTGCCTTTGAACCCCCCAAGTCCCCCCTAGCTCACTATGGCCCAAGTAATTTGAATACTTAATCAATTTAGTCCCTCAAGCTTCTCCATGTTCCACAAAAGCCCAAGCATGTTCTCATTTCTTTACAATTAGGTCCTAAGGTGGGTGTACTTTGAGTCATCATTTGGCCTTTCATTGTTTTTTTGGGATTTTTGAAGCTCTTAAATTTTTTAATTAGTTTTATTTGGTTGATTAATGGTGGCTATCGAGTTTTCAAAATGCATGTTTAAATCATTCATGGACCCTTGTTCACTCTTGGACCTTCAAAACTCCATAATGTTTGTTTGAATCTTGTTATTTACTTGGGGAACTTTTTGTGTTTTTAAAGGTTTCAATTAGGTTCAAATGATTGAGTAGTGCTTGCTTTTGGGTCTTTAGTAGATGTTATGCTTAGGGATCGGATGATCATGCCTTTTGCCTTGGTCTTTAAGTAGTTTTGACTTCATTGAGTTGCAATTGAGGGAAAGTTTGATGTTTTGATGGATTCAAATTGTTTAGTTTATATCTTATCACTAAATTGGTGCATTAATCTTTTGTTTTTGGTGATTTTAGCCTAAGTTAGTCTTTTCTTGGTTGAATCTAGCCAAGTTGAGTTTGTTTACTTCCTTAGTATCACCAACGGGGAGGTATAATCTCTTTTACCCCTTTTGTTTCTCTCCTATGTGGACTAATGTGCTAATTGAGAATTACATGTTTACTTGGTTTTCTTAAATTTGCTTTAATTCCTTTCATTTTAAGTATTTCTTTTATTTATTCATGGGGTATGTGTACACCTCTTGGCTTGTAATAGATAGGGCGTAGCAAGTAATTTGGTCCATTTTCCCTTTCCCTTTTGTTTTAGTTAGCAAATGTAATGGTTGCGTGCCTATGTGTTATATGTTAAATGATTTATTAGGATTTTGCATCTAGTCAAGCATGCTAAGTGTTATGTGCTACGTGTTTATAAGTGATTCGCATGTCTACTCGCTTTTTATAGTGTGGATGAATGGAATGAATGAATGTACGTCACCACACTAGTCCAACGCTAGTTGTGGCTTCTTTTATCGTTTCCACTAGTCCAACGCTAGTCGGAATTCATAGGAGGGGCTAGTCCAATGTTAAACCCAATAGATTTTTTTCCTTTTTCATGAAGTGCATGATCACCACATATCACACATTTTTCCTTAGTTTATCATTTGGTATGTTCCTCAAACCCCTTCCCCTTCACTTTAGGACTTGCATCTCATGCTAGTTATAGGGTTCATTTGCGTGAAAACCCCCTTGGGTAAGGGAAACGAGCGAGTGTGGCTTCAAAATAGCCTTAGCACGCTAGTTTTCCCTTCTAATCAAAGGGAAAATTGAAATCACAAAAAAATAGAGGTCATCCCCGTACCCGACCTGATGCATTCCTCTAAGTTCATGCATTTTCATATCATTTTCTCACTATTTCTCTCACTAAATATATATCTTAAATCCACATGCCATAATCACACACTTGTTCACTTTCTTTATTTTGTCCTTTCACACATTGCACCCATTTTACTTATATTTACTATTTTCGTTCACTTACACACGAGCACTTATATTTTCATCCATTTGCACACAAACACTTTTCTCAAATTGCACACATGCACTTTTCTTACACTTTTCACACTTGCACATATTTGAGTCTTCATTTGCATTATTTGCGATTTCTATGAGGGCTTTCCTTATTTGGCCGTCACAATTCATGTGAATGGGACCAAAAGCCTCATAAGAGACATTTCTTAGATTTAGGATTGCATTTCTCATCCATTAGTCATATCCAACTTGCAATACATACCTTGGGTAGAAAAGTTTAGGAAAATAAGGGTTAAATCACGCAACTAGCCTTGGCTAGGTCGAAGGGGTGCCTTGGATTTTTATCCTTGCCTTCCCCTTCGTCAAATGTGACTCCCGAACCTTTTTCTTTGGTTTACGTGGACTAGGAGTCGTTTAAAAGGGGTTTCTTACTACTTTTTCCTATTTTTTCTTTAAAAATTCATTTTTTGGTGACTTGGTACACCTTAACTCATTACCAAGTGGCGACTCCAATTTTTATTTCAAAAACCCTTTTTAAACTATAAATTTGGGTCAAATCGTCGCATTCTCAACCCCCCATTTAGACCCATTTTTTCTTTAAATCACAATTCATTTTCCAATTGAACAAAAAAATACATTTTTTTAAACCATTTATTTATTTATCAAAAAATGGGGCGCGACAAAACCAACTACTTTTAAAGTAGTTGGTTACTAGGGAGAGTTTTAAGATTCTTCATGGACTTGCATTCATCTACAGAATTCTTAAAAGTTTCACCAGTGAGTTGCAGAAGCACTAGTTTGGTACGATGATAATTCAATCCCCTCCGAGTTCTCTCTTAGTCCATTTGGGCCAATTCCCTCTCTTTTAGTAAAGAATAGGAGTAGATATAGAATAGACACTATAAAGAACAATTGTAAACAAAATTTACATGATCCATTTCATTATTTTTATTGTATATCTGGTACACTCAAATTGTTCTATTAGATATATTATATATTGTTGAAACCTTTTTAACCCGTTTAAAATAATTTTAATATTTAATTTGAAGTAGGTCCAGTAATTTTGTTAATGGTCATAAGTCATAACTATACAAATTTTATTTATATAGAAGGTCAATAGAAATAAAGGAAAAAATTACACAAAGAAGAAATTTGAAGGGAAATTGGATAGGAAAGGGAGGGTGGGAGGGGGCAATGTAAATAAAGCAAGGACTTTTACATAATTCAAGGAATGCAAATATAGAGTAATGTTAAAGTTTTTGAAAACTTCATAGCCAATTATATAATTTTAGCAAACTTGAAGGGGAAGGGGCAATTGCCTACCCTTAAGCGTATTTTGCTCCGCCGTGTCTTGGGTGCTTACCCTTGTTCGTTCTTGACTTTTACCCAAGGATCAATCACTCCAAGGAATTGCTTTTTCTCAACGAAACAGTCTCTCTAGTTGGTGTTTGCTTCCTTTTTGTGTGTGGTAACACCAACTGATGAGAGTGTGCCCCATTCGAATGCTTTCTGTAACATCCTTATTCAGGAGAACAAGTCTGTCAAACACCTTACCTAAGACTCTCTTCCTTCTTTCTCAACCTCTAACTATGGCTCTATATGGATTTAGAATGTTTTTCCAAAACTATTTTGGTATAAATAAATCTTATATACACTAACAGTATATACACTATCACCATTTAATTTGTGATATGTGTGCAAAAGTTGAATTTCAAATTCAAATACAAAAATATCAAATATAACTTATCCATAATCTCAAATATAACATAAAAAAATATCTAAAAAAATAAAATAAAATAAAAAATATACCCTACCGTGTTTTCTTTTTCTGTCCACAATGACCACTACTTAACACCGACCACCGACCACTCCCCTTTTTTTCTTCTCCTTTCCCCTTCCTTCCCGCCATTTTCCCACCTCCTCCCTTCCCTTCCTTACCCTTCCCGAGTACAGACACTACAGACTATGGCACTGTTGCTCCCACTAGGAGGCATAAGCGCACTTCGCACGATTGAAATATAAAATGCCCTGCTCAGTTTTGAAGTAATAAAAATAGTAATTTATGTAGAAAAAGTATATTGATTATTAGTAAACTCTGAAAGGATGGATCCTTAAATATGTAATTTGTGGAGATTAGTCTCTTCAGTAATTAGTAAAAGCCTTTAATTCATAATTAAGTGTTTGCACCTTAACTCCTATACAAGCGAAATTATAACAACACAAAGACGCACTTGTTTTCTATTTCCTCTTTCAGCCAATTTATCTTTTTACCTGCATTTTAAGATCTTCACTTGTGTATATTTATTTGAAACTTCAAATTACTAAGTTACATTTTTACCAATATTTTGATAGTAGTTGCAAGACAACAAAGACAAAATTTAGATTGGATAAGCTATTCTTGTAAATGAAATATGGCTCTGATTTTTAATTAATAATATGCAGAATTTTTAATTAATATTAATTTTATTAATAATATTACAAAACAAACAAAAACACACTCATTTTCTATATGAGTCAGATGGTCAGCTCCTCCTTGGATCATTACAACCTTAGTCATGATGTGGTTGGCTTTGATCGGTCAGCTGAAGTTTATAGGGAAGCGACATTTTTCTCCTGCATCCCCGAATTTTGTTTAAAAAATCTCTTACTAAAACATAATAATTTAAATTTTAAATATTTAAAAATATTTAATCGAGAGGTTCAATAACATTTCTTTCACCTTCTAACCGCAAATTTCACTGGTGAGTATAATACTAAAAAACAATTATAAACTCTCCAATTTTGATCATACCTAGTTTGCACCGTTCAATGAGAAGGTAATGTTTATTGTTTCATTTGTTGCCTTCAATAGAAAAGATATATGAAAGTTCACATGGTTATATTTTTCCACTTCAATTGAAAAGATAATGATTTGATTGTACAACCTCATCTAAATTTATGCTCCATGCTCTTAACTGCTGATTAGAGAGAGTATCTAACAAAAAGAGTTCAGAAAGTGCCTCAAAGTCCACCACCACGTAGGGCATTTTAATTATTCTCTCATGTTCAAGAAAGATGTTGATCCCAAATGTTCTTGAAACCTTGGAAGTTTCATACATTGCTAGGGTTTAAAATGTTTTATACAAAATTTAGTAATGATGTAATCCCATCTCAAATTGGCCCGTCCTTGCAGATGAATACCCGAGAAGAAGCCTTCTAAATCACATACAGCTCAAGTCATCAACTCCTCCCCGAGGCTCTATTTAACGCCATCAACAAAACTCTGGAGCAAAATGAATGTAATCGTCAAATGATGTGAAAGTATTGCATTTACAAATCAACCGGTAAATTGCATAAGTGCCAGCATTTAATTTCGTACATATATTGAGGTAGACATGGAATATTAATCTCTACGTAGAAGTAGAACCTAAAACATTAGCAATACAATAGTCAAAAAGACAGTTTTCAAGAGGATTGGGCTGTAGTGACTCAGAAAAATCAACAGCTTAAGCAATCTACTATGAAGATTATGGTCCAACTATCTATTCTTACTTAAAAATCAATGAATTAGCATTTGATCAGCAGTCAACAAGCTGCAGATTTACTTTACAATGTGGGGAACCTTGTTCAGTCCTTATATTTCATTGTTTCTTTCTTGAACCCAATTGTTGGAATTTGTTTGGCATACCCTTCAACCTCATGCCGTAGCTTAGTAATCCCAGATTTAAGTTAGCATCCTTCATTGTTGCCACAAAGTCCTTCAATTTTGTACCTGAACAAAAGCAAAGATAGAGCTATTTGAACACCCTGCCAGCTTATTAAGCTCCAGAGGATCTCAAAAAAGATGAGTCAAAGTAACATATGATTCAGAGCCAGTTTCACGGCTGCATCAAAGAACTCACCCACTTTGACGAAATCTTCTTCAGCAAATCCTCTAGAAGTGAGAGCTAGGGTTCCTATCACGAGCCAGAGTCGGTGAGTCATTAACAGACACAGAGAGGTTATCATTTTGTCTTGACTGCCTGCACACTTTACGCTACCATCACACCATTCACTAAAGACAAATCATAGATGGAGTCGTTGAAGAATTGAGTAATACTTGTGTCCAAGTCGGGCCTCTCTGGTTACCCCAACGATTTAAAATTAAAAATGCATAAGCACTTAAAAAATGGCATACATGGAGAAGTGTGCTATATCAGAACAGCATTGTATTGCTGTTGTTTTCTTTTCTTTTCTTTTTTCCCCCCTTTTCTGAGCTTTGAAAGCAAATGATGATTTGAGAAACCCTAGGTCTAATGCAGCCTGAATGGACACAGAAATATAGAATCTAGACAACAATAAACACTTCTCTGTAAAACAATAAAATCTCTCAATCACTAAGCCTAAATTTCGTATATGCATCTCTATTGCTATAGGATAGGGTGAGAGAAGTGATTCTGGTACACATGTACTTACAATCTACTGCAGCAAAGCTACCAAATTCAGAGGCAATTGCATCAAATATGACGAACATTGCCCAAATTGAACTCCACCAAAGTTGGTTGGCATCTATATTCTACAGTGAACGGTTCAGCCACAACAAAAGGGAACAAAATTGAAATTGGCATACTAGCGCATCAAGCATTAACCATGTTCCTGTAGTTCATTTGTTCACGGGCATGTTCGTTTTCATCCCTGAAACTGATGGTCCAGAAGGCGAGGGAGGTACTAACTATAAGGATGAGAAGGATGGCCACGAATAGTGCCTTATCAGCCTGTCAATCCATCTGGGATTTGGCTAGGTAACCTGTTTTGCATGAGTCACAATCATAGCACCCTCCCCTGTTGCTGCTGTTTGGCCACATTTGGCATTCCTCGTTCTGGGAAGCAAACCCGGATTCTGGGATCTCTCAGAAGCTTTCATTTCTTTGTAGAAAATCATAACGTTTTGGTGGACTACAGCAGCCCAATTGCAGACAAGCAACATAGCATCAATCAAACATGCATCAAAACTTAATTGCCCAATCATGAATTTTGCTATGACCCCGTAGTAGAGGAAGAGACAGGGGGGTGGAGGAGAGATGAATACCGTCATAAACAAAAGGAGACGACGATCAAATAAAAAAAGATGTTAAATTGTTAATAACCTGAACATAGTACAAGTAATAACTCTTGCTGCAGAGTGGCAAAACGAACTCAGACAAATATATCAATGTCAAATAATTAAACAGAAAATAAACCTATAAACAAGGCAACAAATAGCCAAATATGTCGATGGTATTTGTTGAGAGAGGTAATCAAACCTTGTGCAAGCAAAAATCTAAAAGGGATTACAATAAAAAAAAAATTTCTGCAATTTGAGCCCATGAAAGAAGAATGGATGTGCATATGCCAGCCCAAATATGCGGTTCAACAAACAAGAAGAATTCTTCACAAACTATCAAAATACGAGCAATTCAATGGCCATTCTTGCTCTGTGAGAACCATTACCTTCAATAACTTCTCCATAGTTTTGAAAAGCCTCTTCCAGACTTGCTTGATCCGTTTGATATGAGAGCCCTATAAAAATAAAGGGTAAGAACAATGCATAAAAAAAAAGACATCTTTGCCCGTAGACAGGGAGATAGGTAAAAAATCGAAAAGTCAAAAACATCGAAATATTCCCTGATATTGATATTTCACCTAGGGAAAAAAAAGTGGAGCAAAAACTTTCAAAATAAAAGTAAAGGGCGAGGGAGTGGAGATCGATAGAGGAAAGGCAGTGAGAGAGGCCGATGAGGGCGAGGATCTTGCGGCGGAATTGAAAGGGAAGAGGGGATCCGGCGACGATGAACTTGAAATGGAGGTGATGTGAAACCCCGATCTAGACAACCAAAACACCATGGTTTAGGCAGCGAAAATTTGACCCAACTAATCCCTAGAAGTCACGAACAATTTTGATATTATCTCAACCCGTAACTACTCGAATTAACGAACCAAATTGGAGGTAGTAGAACGCCACAATCAAGGAGATACTCGATTGATAAGTTCGGGTGAATAACTTGAGAAGATTCTCAAGTATTCAAAGGCAACTCTCTTGCCAAAGAGAAAGTGAAAACTCACTAATTGTATTTAATAATCAGAAACTGATCCCCAACAAAGAGGAAGTGAGGCTATTTATAGCCCTTACAAGCATTAACCCTAATCCAAAAGTTGACCAAACTACCCTACATACTTAAGAAAGATTTTGGGCCTTACTTACTAACAAATGGGCCGCAATTAAACTAGCTTAATTACCTAGACCTTCTAAAGCGAGAAATAACCAAAATCAACGAGTAAAATCAAATAATCCTACTAAACTCAAGTATTCTTCACTTGAATCTTCCAATTCCCCATGTGCTTAAATGGGTCTTGATCTTTTTATTCTCATCATTCCCCTCCTCTTAAAAGCAATTTGCCCACAAATTGAAGTACGAATGGTGACAAGACGAGTTACATGCCTTCGACTCAATCTTGTTATGATGGCTACAGATGGCATCCAATTCAAAGCCCATGTGCTAAGTTGGAAAATAACCCTTGTCGAACCTTGAATCTCACAAACCATCTTCAATGTATGCTCAACTTTATTGTTTGTGGTCATGAGGTAAGGGTCCTCAAAGTGGTATGAAGTGTATCCCGTGAAATCGAACTCCGACTCGAACACACTTGCAAGGTACCAAGGCGGATTTGGTGATGTTGGAGCTGCATGTGGACTAAGAGCAAGATGAAAATCATAATGGTCATTGAGGTACTTGTTCTTTAAACGAACCCTTGGTACACAACCATCCCTAAAATATGGAGTGTTCCCTTCAAGATGAGCTCGAATCAACTCCCCTTTGGTGTGGACTGATTTGAGTTGACATTGTTCCAGGAATGGATACCAAGGGGGTTTAACTCTTGGAGTACCAACTCCATGGAGGCTTGCAACGTCTACAATTGATTTTCGAATGGAACACACCAAGATCAGCTCAACTTGCCTTTGCTTGATCTGTATAAAAGAAGAAACACTAAACAAAACAAAGGTAAGTTTGTTAAGAAAATAATAGGCCTTCACCGGTTTGCTCAAGATCAGCCAACTTTCTCTTCTTTCTTCCTTTTTACCACCCATCTCGTTAGATTTTTCCATCTCTTTTTCTAGTTCAACAGCTGACCCTTTTATCTCATTACTTTCAACTTCCTCGGGTTTTACCTCTGCAGGCACAATTCCCTCATCTAGCTTTTTCTCCATTCTATAACGCTCAAACTCACTTTTCATGCATGCTAGATCAATATAAAGTTGGTCATAAGTAAGTGATACAAGTGCAAGACGACGACTATTAAATAAGAAGGAATACTTATTAGTATGTCCATCAATTTTAACTTCTCGCCTCGACATCCATGCTTTGCCCAACAACACATGTGTCACTTGAATTGGGACTACATCACACAACACCTCATCCACATATTTGCCGATTTGAATAGGTACAAGTGTGTGCTTAGTAACCCAAACATCCCCATGAGTGCTCGTCAACTTGTACGGTTGAAGATGATTAATGGTTGGAAGATTTAATTTCTCAACCATGATAGCACTTGCAAGATTGACTTCACAACTACCATCAATGGCCAAGCTACAAATTTTATCTTTGACACCGCAACGAGTATAAAACCAACCAAGCAACTGAGATTTGACGAGGTCCAATTGCTCATCTACACCACGTAATGCCACTTCTTTGACTCCCTTAGGATCAGGAAAATAATGTTGTGGGCTAGCTTTTATGCGTCTTATACTCGCCATGACGTATGAGGGAACCTGCAAAAAGTTAGCAACGAAACCGAAGATATTGCCTTTCACGCTCCCTTACGTGTATCCACTCGCACTCGTGTATATGGATGTCACTCTAATGGACTTACCAAATACCTTTACCTGTTGGGTTAGGTAGTTGAGAAATGCTGCTCAAGTCCAACAACCGTTACCAACCTTTCCACAAGTGTAATCACAAGAATATAGGAGAAAATGTAGGAAAGTGTTCCTAGAATCTAGGAAGAGAATATAGGAGAGTTTTCTAAAGTGGATGAGAGAATATAGGAAAGTTCCTAAAAATAGATGAGAGAATTTTAGGAGAGTTTCCTAAAAAATGGATGAGAGAATTTAGGAAAGTTTTCAAAAAAATGGATGAGAGAGTTTAGGAAAATTTCCTAAAAATGGATGAGAGAATATAGGAAAGTTTCCAAAAAATGGATGAGAGAGTTTAGGAAAGTTTCCTAAAAAGGTAGGAGAGAGTGTGTCCAAGTGAGTACTGTAGACACCAAATTTTTGTCAATTTTTAATGTTTTCCTGAATTTTTATCTATTTAATAAGTTATCTATTATTATTATTATTATTAATGTGTAATTTTCTCATTTTTGCAGGTTTATTTTAGAAAAGAAAAAGAGAGAAAAAAAAACAACAAAACAAAAACAAACAAAAAAGGGAGAAAAGTTAAAAACAAAAAAAAAAATCAAAAAATCAAAAAAATCAAAAATCAAATCAAAATCAAATTATTACTAAACTTACACATTTTCATCATTTTCTCTACCAAAACCCCTATTAACCCATTCTACACTCAACTCCCACGGGCTTTTCTTTTCATTTGGCAGAAGCCATCATTTGGAAAAAAACCAACACACAGCTCCTTTTGCAGTCCCTCTCTCTCTCTCGGAGAAAAAAAAAAAAAAGCTCCCTCTCTCGGCTCTCTCTTGGAAGTCAGAGACAAGAAGAAAAAAAAAAAACTCCACTCCCACCCCCCAACTCTCTCCCCCCCTCGGGCTGGACCGAAAAGAAGAAAAAAAAAAAAGAAAAAAAAAACTACTTCCTCAATCTACTCTCTCGGCTCTCACAAACGGAGGACAAGAAACAAAAACAGAGACAAGGAAAAAAGAAGGGAGGCTCTCGGCTCTCTCTCTTGGCTCTCAACCGAGAAAAGAAAGAAAGGCATCAGAAAAACTTCAGCCAAGGCAATTCCACTTTCATTGAGGTATTTTCCAGTTTTTTTTTTAAGCATATTAGATGCATTTTGATTTTAATTTATCTTGCTTTTGCTGGTTTTTATTGTTGTTGTTGTATTGCTGAAAATTGGGAAATGGCATGAACTAGATTGAGGAAAAGGAAATGTTTTTTATGCATGCATGTTAACCGTTTGAAAAAATACCAAAATGAAAAGAAAGAATCTTAGGGGACTGTTTTGATTTATTTTAGTCCTTTTATG